TAATGTATGAAACCAAGGTGATGATTATGTTAGAAGTTAGAATAGGGATATTAGAAAAAGGAATTAAAAAAAGGTGGGTGGCTCCGTTTTGAGAGAAACGGGGGAGAGAGAAGCTGTAAATATCATCATTTTGCTTTGTGTTACTTCATGCTCCAAATGATGTCTTCTTCAATCCTGTATACTCTATCTTTATATAATAAGATTTTATATTTTTCCTCTTTACATATTTATACTTCTCCAAATGATGAAAAGGATGGCTATTGGAATTACTGAAAATCGATGTCGTAATGTCGTATTGCTAGACGACTTTCAATTACATTATGACATTTATGTGTCAAAATGGGCTGATGTAAAATCGTTTTTGTCTGCTTGTCGTTAAATCTTGTGTCAACACTCTGAGTTCTGTGTTCGTCAAAAACAACTACATGTTTCTCTCTTACACTCGATCTCACGCCTACAATATTATATATATATATATATATATATATATATATATTGTGTATTTAACCCCATAATTAAGGCTATAAGCTAGCTAGCCGGCCGGTGAATAGATGATCCGATCGAGTAAATTAACAAATTAATGAATGTACCCCTCATCGATGAACCTCTAGGCTCTAGTGTTTGTGTTTTAACTTCACCTATTAAATCTGATCAGAATGATATATATTTGGAGAAAATACATGCCTAAATTTGTGTTTTGTTACTTTTTGTAACGGGTTTTAATTACGAACTGGCCCGGTTTGATATGGTCCTCCCAAGGAAATTGCACTTGCTCGTTTGGTAGGGGTTGATAAACTTGGCCAGATCGGTTTGATCGGAGAGATGCTAAGGGGTGAGGGGTTGCCTCGAAGATCCTTAGGCCCAACTCACGAAAAACGGAAACTGAACAAGGGGGTGATGACACCAAGTGATGATCTCGCGGGTTAAGGATGAACAGGCGTGAGACTTGACCTCGAAAATCCTGTTGCCCCAAAACTAGATTGAACGAAATCGAAAACAAGATGCAAGGAAGGCTGCGTCGAATCCTATGGATTGAATCCGATAAACCAAAATAAACTTTCAAGGCTAACCACCAAGAAAGGAAACTCAAAGAGAACAAGAGAAAATCTCGAAATTTAGATAAAAAGTGAATGATAAAATACAAAGGGTTCGATCTCCTTATATAGAGTCGTGAAAGAAGTGCAAAAGACAGAAATAATGAGTACATGCATTGATCATCAAGACCACTCGGCTTCTCGGATGACCGGATTGACTTCTCTTGCGCGAATGGCCTTTCATCTTCTTGTAACGCCTTGTAGCAAATTCGGATAAGGAAAGATGTGGGCCTTTAACTCATTAAAACCCCACCCGGTAAACCCCATGGGACAAACCCGGATGCAAGGAAAAAGAGTGCTAAGGGGCCGCATCGTCCGAATAGGCTAAGAGGGTTACAGCTCGGTCGCTCGGTGTGGCTTCTGTGAACTTGGTCATCAGATTGGTATATAACCTCGAAATGGCCAAGGTCAGCTTCTTAGCTCGGGACCGTGTAATTGAACCAGTGAGCTCGGTCAGATCTGAACTTGGGTCGTTCACCTCGGCCAACTTTCCTTCCTGAACCTCCATCTCGCTCAGCTCGGCCATTTGGTCCTGATTTCCGTCCTGGACTAGTCCTTCGGCTTGACCCTCAGTTCGCACCTCGTCCATGCTCGTATCATTCCCCCCCTCTTGAAAAGGACTTGTCCTCAAGTCTGGTCCATCTGGGAAAAAGGGAACTAAGTCAGAAACATTAAAGCTTGAACTGACCGTATACTTACCTCGGAGGTCGATCTGGTAGGCATTGTCATTGATGCGGTTTAAGACTGTGAATGGTCCATCAACTCGGGGTAACAGCTTAGACTTCCGTTCCTCGGGAAATCTTTCCTTCCTTAGATAAATCCAAACTTGGTCGCCGGACTCGAAAGTTCTTTTGCTTCTTCCTTTGTTTGCCTTTCTTTGGAATTGCTCGGTTTTTCTTTGAATGTTTGCCTTAGCTTTCTCGTGCATCTGTTTAACCAACTCGGCCTTTTTCTTGCCATCTAAGTTAAGTCTTTCACTCAAAGGCAAAGGGGTTAGATCAAGTGGAGTAAGCGGATTAAAACCATACACAAGTTGAAAGGGAGAAAACGATGTAGTTGAATGAACCGAATGGTTATAAGCAAATTCAACATGTGGCAAACAATCTTCCCAAGTTCTAAGATTCTTTTTAATTACAGATCGCAACAAGGCTGACAAAGTTCGATTAACTACTTCAGTTTGTCCATCAGTTTGAGGGTGACAAGTAGTTGAAAAGCAAAGCTTAGTTCCAAGTTTTGACCATAGGGTTTTCCAAAAATAACTAAGAAATTTGGTGTCCCGATCTGAAACAATGGTTCTAGGAAACATTTGATGCATCATCAGTCTTATGGCATGGAATGAAATGAGCCATCTTAGAAAACCTATCTACCACCACAAAGACCGAATCTCTCCCTCTCCTAGTTCGGGGTAATCCTAACACGAAATCCATGGAAATATCCGTCCAAGGCTCACTAGGGATCGGAAGGGGAGTGTACATACCTTGGCCTTGACTTCGGGTCTTGGCCATCTTGCAGATCGTGCACCGGCTACAAACTCGCTCCACATCGCGTCTTAGGTGCGGCCAAAAGAAGTGGTCTTGCACCACACTTAGAGTCTTAGCTACTCCGAAGTGCCCCATCAGTCCTCCTCCATGCGCTTCCCTAACAAGTAAGTCACGAAGAGATGTGTTAGGTATGCATAACCGATTTTCATAAAAAAGGTAGCCATCACTTTGGTAGTATTTGCCATGGGCAGATTTGGAACTGGCTCGGTAGACGTCCTGGAAGTCGGGGTCAGTGAAGTAGGTTTCTTTCATCAGTTCGAATCCCAACACCTTTGCGTCCATGGTGGAAATCAAGGCGTATCGTCGAGACAAAGCATCGGCCACCACGTTCTCTTTACCCTGTTTGTACCGAATGACATAGGGAAATGTTTCGATGAATTCCATCCATCTGGCATGCCTCTTGTTCAGCTTCGGTTGACCCTTTAGATGCTTGAGCGATTGGTGGTCCGTGTGGATGACGAACTCCTTGGGCCACAGATAGTGCTGCCAGGTTTGTAGGGCTCGGACCAGGGCGTACAGCTCTTTATCGTAGGTTGGGTAGTTCAAGGTCGCTCCTCCTAGCTTCTCACTGAAGAAAGCTACGGGTTTCTTTTCTTGCATCAGCACGGCTCCAATTCCAACCCCTGAGGCATCGCACTCGATCTCAAAGGTCTTGAGAAAGTCAGGTAGCACCAGTAAGGGTGCATGGGTTAGGTTATGTTTCAAAAGCTGAAAGGCTTCCTCCTGCGGATGTTCCCACTTGAACCCGACCTCCTTTTTAATGATCTCGGTCAATGGCGCGGCTATTGTGCTGAAGTTTTGGACAAATCGGCGATAGAAACCAGCTAGGCCATGGAAGCTCCGGACCTCGCTCACGGTTTTTGGGCTCGGCCAATCCTGGATCGCCTTGATCTTTTCTTCATCGACCTGGATCCCCTGCGAACTCACAACAAAACCTAAAAAGACAACGTGATCCGCACAGAAAGTACACTTTTTTAGGTTTCCAAAGAGTCGTTCACGTCTAAGCACATCTAATACCTTTTTCAAATGCTGCACATGTTCATCCAAGGTCTTACTGTAAATTAAGATATCATCGAAGTAAACTACCACGAAAACTCCTATGAATGACCTAAGAACATGGTTCATCAATCGCATGAATGTGCTAGGTGCATTAGTGAGTCCAAAAGGCATAACAAGCCACTCGTAAAGACCATGCTTAGTTTTAAAAGCAGTTTTCCACTCATCACCTTCTTTCATTCTAATCTGGTGATAGCCACTTTTTAAATCAACCTTAGAAAATATGCATGCACCATGGAGCTCATCTAACATATCGTCTAGCCTAGGTATAGGATGGCGATACTTAACTGTTATGTTGTTGATGGCTCTGCAGTCAACACACATCCTCCAAGTTCCATCCTTCTTAGGCACGAGTAAGACCGGCACGGCACATGGGCTCATGCTCTCGCGAATGTAACCCTTGGCCAATAGTTCTTCCACCTGTCGTTGCAGCTCCTTGGTTTCTACGGGGTTAGTACGGTAGGCAGGTCGGTTAGGAAGGGTAGCTCCGGGCACGAAGTCGATCTGGTGTTCAATTCCTCTAAAAGGTGGTAAGCCGCCTGGGTCGTCTTCCGGAAAAACATCAGCAAAGTCCTGCAAAACATGAGAGATTCTGCTCGGTAAATCCGGCTCAGGGTCAATATGGCTAGCCAAAGCTTCTTTTAAAACGAGAAGGACAAATGTTTGCTTTGTAGCCAAGGCATATTTCACCTCGCTAGGCCTCACTAGAAAAGATTCTTTACTCACGGGATTTCCCTCATAGGCCATTTCTAGGTTTTTCTCAGACTCTCTCTTTTGAAGTGAAGTGTTTTGGGTTTCGCTCATAATACCTTTTCCTTTGGTATTCTGTTCCAGCTTAACTTGATCGAGATAGACTTCATGTGGTGACAAAGGTGCCAAGACAATCTTGCGACCTTGGTGCTCAAAGGAATGCTTGTTTGAGAGCCCATCATGGATCGCCTTTTTGTCGAACTGCCACGGCCGTCCTAGAAGTAGATGACCGGCCTCCATAGGTAAAACATCGCAAATGACCTTGTCCTCATACCGTCCAATAGTGATAGGTACAGTGACCTGTTTGGTGACCTTGAGTTGCCTCTGGTTGTTAAGCCACCGTAGGTTGTAAGGATGAGGATGTTTGCGGGTTTCCAAACCTAACTTGTCCACCATGCTAGTGCTCGCCACATTGGTGCAGCTTCCTCCGTCAATAATCAGACTACACACCTTTCCTTGGACCAGGCACCGGGTGTGGAACAAGTTTTCCCTCTGGTCTTCCTCCTTGGTCCGTTCTTGTGCCATGAGAACACGTCGAGCTACTAGTAGCTCTCCCGACACAGCTCGCTCCTCGGTCTCCTCCTCGTCATAGATCGGCTCGGTATCTTCCTCATGATCGGACACGATTTCTCCGGTGTCGAGCATAAGCATAGCCCTCTGATTCGGGCACTTGTTGGCATAGTGTCCTTTCCCACGACACTTGAAACACTCGATGTCTCGCGTCCTGGATGAGCTGGTTTCGGTCTTGCCTGGGTTCGGCTTCGAGTCCATCCTCGGCTGAGTGTTGGATCGGGAGGGATAGGTTGCCTTATCGTCTCGGTAATTAGGTCGCGAATTGGCTCCAGGGGTAAATCGATTGGTTCCCTTTCGCTTAAGCTGTTGCTCCACCAAGATCGCCTTGTGTAGCATCTCGGCCATATCATTATACTCCTGTAGCTCCATTCGGTCCTGCAAGTCACGATTCAGACCACTTAGAAATCTAGCCATGGTCGCGTCCTCTGGCTCGAATACGTCGGCCTTGAGCATTAAACATTCCATCTCCTGGTGATAATCCTCCACGGACTTAGTCCCTTGCGTAAGCCTCCTAAGCTTGGTGTGTAACTCCCGATGGTAGTGGGATGGTACAAACCGTTGCCGCATAAGAGTGGCCATCTCGTCCCAAGTTTCTACTGGCCGTTCACCGTTCCTATGCCGGCTGATCATGATCTGGTCCCACCAGTCTATGGCATAGCCATTGAACTCGGAGGCCGCCAAGTTGATCTTCTTTCTCTCCGATAGATCCTGGCAGTTGAACACGATGTCCACCTTCTTTTCCCATTCTAGGAAAGCTTCTGGGTCATTTTTTCCATAGAAAGGTGGAATCTGCAGCTTCATGCCTCCTAGGTCATTATCGTTACGACCTCGAGCCTGTTCAGCTTCTCTTCGTTCATGGATGGGTCGCGGAGGTCGTCCTCCTTCACGTCGGAAATCTCGGCCTGGGAACTGATTGCCTCGGTCTCGGTCTCTTCCAGCTCGGCCTCGGGGTGCACCACGGTTTCCTCGCGGCCTGGCTCGGCTACTTCCGGATGAGTGATTATCCGCGTAGAAGGGGTTTTCAATCTCCTGCTCGAAATTCCGGTCTCGGTGGATATGTATAGGCTCCTCGCGGTTTTGGTCGTTGGCCTCCTCTTGCCTTGGCTGAGCTTCTAGCCGATCCATCCTTTGGCTCATTCGCTCCACCATCTCGGTTATTTGGTTAAGTTTGGCCTCCATTTCTCGTGGAGTATACCAGCGAACGTGATTTCCTTCCTTGAATGTATAGAACTCGCAATCTTCCAACGAGTAGTCAGATGACATGCACGTACCTCGCAAAAATAACAAACACGTTAGTATAAATTCTTTCTAGTGTGTCTCTCTTTGATTCACTCACTCTCTTATTAATCTCACAAACCCACACAAGATTTTCTTCCGGTTCTAAAGGAGTTAATCGATTCACGATGACTGCCCCTAGGTTCCCTTGGTTTATCAAATGTTTGAAGGAGAAGAATAAGAATAGATAGATAGAGAAGAATACGATTTCCTTTTTTTTTTTTTGACTTTTGAAATTCCTCTTTTTTTTTTTTTTTTTTTTTTGAATGGACTTTCCGATTTCTTTTTTTTTTTTTTTTTAAAACGGAAATAACAGAAGAGATAGGATGAGAAAAGGCGGAAGTTAAAAAGATAGATTGACACTACCGATTAAGCAACCTGGCTCTGATACCACTTGATATGGTCCTCCCAAGGAAATTGCACTTGCTCGTTTGGTAGGGGTTGATAAACTTGGCCAGATCGGTTTGATCGGAGAGATGCTAAGGGGTGAGGGGTTGCCTCGAAGATCCTTAGGCCCAACTCACGAAAAACGGAAACTGAACAAGGGGGTGATGACACCAAGTGATGATCTCGCGGGTTAAGGATGAACAGGCGTGAGACTTGACCTCGAAAATCCTGTTGCCCCAAAACTAGATTGAACGAAATCGAAAACAAGATGCAAGGAAGGCTGCGTCGAATCCTATGGATTGAATCCGATAAACCAAAATAAACTTTCAAGGCTAACCACCAAGAAAGGAAACTCAAAGAGAACAAGAGAAAATCTCGAAATTTAGATAAAAAGTGAATGATAAAATACAAAGGGTTCGATCTCCTTATATAGAGTCGTGAAAGAAGTGCAAAAGACAGAAATAATGAGTACATGCATTGAATTCAATCAAGGACCACTCGGCTTCCTCGGATGACCGATTGACTTCTCTTGCGCGAATGGCCTTTCATCTTCTTGTAACGCCTTGTAGCAAATTCGGATAAGGAAAGATGTGGGCCTTAAACTCATTAAAACCCCACCCGGTAAACCCCATGGGACAAACCCGGATGCAAGGAAAAAAAGTGCTAAGGGGCCGCATCGTCCGAATAGGCTAAGAGGGTTACAGCTCGGTCGCTCGGTGTGGCTTCTGTGAACTTGGTCATCAGATTGGTATATAACCTCGAAATGGCCAAGGTCAGCTTCTTAGCTCGGGACCGTGTAATTGAACCAGTGAGCTCGGTCAGATCTGAACTTGGGTCGTTCACCTCGGCCAACTTTCCTTCCTGAACCTCCATCTCGCTCAGCTCGGCCATTTGGTCCTGATTTCCGTCCTGGACTAGTCCTTCGGCTTGACCCTCAGTTCGCACCTCGTCCATACTCGTATCACGGTTCAACCTTCTATCTATGATTACGATAACTTTCGTCAATTGTTATGAAAAAAAAGGGCTCTGTTTTTTTTCCCCTTTAGAATTGATGTTTATTGCAACTTTGACTCTAATAATCAATCAAATAGGGAAAACATAGATATCACCAACCTGATAATAGTCCTAACATCATAAACGACACCGAATGATGATTATAGTCAGAGACTCAGATGTAGGAGACGCGAAGATTGGTAAAATATATGACTGATATCGTGGAAACGCTAAATCACCGAGGCCACTACGTTCGTATTCACTAATGGGAGAGACGATTAAAATCAACAGGATCAAATAAAAAGAAATTGCGGAAATTGCGGCTAGATTAGATTGTGATTTGTGAGCATTCTTTTTTTATTTTTTGGTATCGTGTGATTTATTAGTAGTTTACATGTTACAAAAAGGATAGGGACAAAACGCTGCGTTTCCAAAGACTAGACTTCTTGGGGCGAGGTGGTCTGAAAGCAAAGTTGATGCCAAACATCTCCGTGGAAGTCAAGTTCGTGTCCACGAATCCATGGAGCTTACCAACGAGGGAGGCGCTCTCTCGGACATGACCCATGTCTTTGTAATCCGACCAGAGCCTGTGCGCCAGCTGGACCCGCCTGTGCCTTGTGTTCAGCCCAATGCCCCATCTCAAGAACAAGTTCTCTCTCTCTTCTTTCGATAGTTTCCTCTGCATCAGCTTGCTCAGCTTAAACCTCTCCCTCGTCAACGCCCTCGTGCTGCTTGTTTGTTTCCCACATAGATATTTAATTTAACATTAAAATTCATCCTGAACCAAAAACTGAGATAAAATAATTGTGAATTTTACCTGGAGATTAGGGTCAGATTATTGTGTCCATCGTCGCTGGCTTTGCTATTTTGGACAAAAGAGTCTCTGATGTACTTTAGTCTACGGAGTTCAACCTCCAAGTACAAGCAATCTTTCTGATCTCCTCTGAACAGAAGGAAGAAGTAGCTTCTGTGGGCAATGGAGACGTTACACGTGTGCCACAGCTCTATTATCTCCCTCTGTAGCCTCTTGAACTCCACCGGCCAATTCAAAGGCGTGTCTAAGTAGTCTTGTATTGGGTCCAATGCAGCGTCTTTGAAACTCTTTGTCGAACTCAAGGTCAAGGCCAAGAAGTTTTGTTCTATTTCTTCCATCTGTTACGTGACACGGACTTGGGGTGATTTTTACGATATCAGGCAAACGGAATTCATATGTATACACTGGTTAAAAAAAAAAAAAGCAAAACTAACCGAACGATGAATGATTCGCTTGTCTTTCTGAGCAGCAGTCTCCTCTGTTTTGTCCTGGCTGGATGAATCTCTACCACTTGCCTGAATCTCAAACACATAAACATCAGAGGGGCGGGACGGTGATGAAACTTCGTTACTGACACCATGTGACGCAGCATGCGCAGTTTCAGTGTCACTCAGGCTTCTCTCGAGCCAGGTTGTTGCCTTGCTCCTACCGCCAAACTCCTCCTGCAACAACCTCTCATTCTTGATGTCGCACACTGCCACGTTTCTCTCAGCTGTTTTAACAAATTCTTTGTCGTACCAGCTTGGCGGTGTATCAGCATCTTTCTCAAACCAAGAGGAGGATGAGCTCGATAACACGCTTGCTCTGCAGCTTTGGCTTCTAATCAGTTTCATGCCTCTGACCGCTTGTGAATCTCTCTCGGTATGCCAAGGGAAATGCTTTTCAGGAGAGGGAGTGATAAGCGCTGGAGGCATGGGGTTTCTACTAAGGTTAGGCATGTCTGTATCAAACTCACCAGGAGAAGATTTGAAATCACAGCATGGAGGTTTGATGAGTTTGTTTTCTTGTTTTGGTGGAGTAGGGGCACCACTGAAGTCCTTTACCCTTTCTTCTTCAGCTTCAGCTTCTTCTTCTTCGTCGTCAGCTTCAGCTTCTTCTTCTTCTTTTTCTTCCCCTTCAGCTTCTATGGGCGGTCGTAAGTTATTTGTCTTTGTCGCACATACTGGTTCTTCTGCATTCACAGCATCGTATCTGTCTGGAATGCTCTCCGGAATATTTTCCTCTGGATGTATAATGACATTCGACTTCTCTGTTTCTATGCATTGAACATCCCTGCAGTTATCCTCAGAATTTCCATCAGTCTGTTCAGCCATTACATTAAGCAGTTCCTCCTGAAGATGAGGTTGATCTGCAATTTCCTCTATGTGAACCTGAGATTGGTCTTTGTTTTCTGTCCCGTGAATATTTGGAAAAACCTTAGGGAAAGGAGTCACAAAGGCAACCTGTTGAAATGGACTACTTGACCCAGAATCTATCCTGAAATCTGAAAGCTGGAAGACGTTCTCTTCATAGCTGTATTCTGTTGATCGTGGAGACAGACTGGAACGGTGAGCTGATATAGGGCTTAATGGTGTTGTATTCTCAGAGTCCCACGCACTGCGCACCCGCAGCTTGGGGTATTGATGTTCCAGCAGCACCTGGAAAACACACAAAAAACAATTAATAAAATTGGCAGTAATGGATATCCTCGCTTTCTGTAAAACTATGTGGAAATAACAGATATTTACCTCTACTGATTCTGTTGATAGTGTCTCTTTTTCTCGTTGCTTTTCTTCTCCAACCATTCGTCGAAGATCCTCAATCTCGGAACGAGCTTGCTCTAGCTGTTGTGCTAGTTGGACTACCTCTTTCTTTAGCTGTAAGAAATGGGACAGATCTTCATTCAAATATCCAGAGAACTACAGGGTGATTGGGTTGTGAACAAGAGCAATCAATAAACGCAGGGAAAAGAGTATAAATTTAGCTGCAGTAACAAAAGAAGGTTTTTATTATATAATAGTGAATTCATGCTACAACCTATTTCCTAATATCGTAAAAGGGTGGGGTACCTTTTCAACCTCGAGGTCCTTCTCTGTCAGTAATGCAGTTGAGTCAGAAGCAATCAAAGGCTGACTAGGGCTTCTCAATTCACTTTCCAATTTAGCCAGCTCCCTCTGCAAGTGTTTTACTAAAGCTTTATCAGACATGACAACATTGACTTGTGCATTTGTTGTCACTTCCTTTGCGCAGCTAGCAAATAACAGTGTATTTCTTGATTGCTCAACATGGATTCTTGCAGGACTCATGGTACAAATTATGGCAGTTCTGGCATTTCCTCCCAAGGAAGACTGAAGTATGCGTGTCAGTTTTGAATCTCTGAATGGAATGTGCCCAGTTTTTCCTTTACTGCATGAAGTTAGCTACGTAAATGAGTCATACAGGAAAAAAAAAGGAGCACTGTTTACATCAATTGAGTCAAAGGTTAAAGAGGAAAAATACAGAAATTCACATAAACATTGTGAGAATAGGTGTAAGCTCTATGTTAATTAAGACAGAGAACTTAAGTTTTCAAGTACAACAAGCCGCTGCTCAAAGAACAAATATCAATCTCACGAAACAGAAAACGTTGAGGAAGCTAATTAGAGCTCACAAGCTAACCTTAGCTTACCTTAGCTTACGGATCACAGTTCCCAGCGTTAACAAACTTCGGTTTATATGACAACCTTCTTTCAACCTTGTGCCGGCTGATAAAGATTGAGATGCACGTTCACTTCCAGCAAGATCAATAAAGTTCTGCATGACAAGTATTTACTCTATATCTCTTTCAACTACTTATTTTAGAAGAATATGTGAGGTAAAGATCAAGGATATGTACCACTGTTGCTGTTAGTGTACTAAATTTATCGTTGGTGAAAAATTCACGAGCCGTGCTTTCAACTGTCTGGAAAAAGATAGTCGTACCAAGATATAAGATCAAAAAGAAGGTCACAAAGAATGCATTGTTGAGCTATAAATATCGATCAACAAGATGCCTAACCAATCTCAAAATCTGATGAGACCTGGAGCTAACTTCATTTAGAGCCGTCTCGCCAATTTGCCGTTGAGCTGCAAATGATAAGATGATCGTTAAAATTGTTGCAAAGAAAATAACTACTAGAAAGTTTAGATACCAGTTTAGATTATTTCTACCTTCGCAGACACATAGGAGTTCCTTGAAATGATTCCAGTCTCGCAGAGTTTCTTCTGTGAGTTTCTCAACAACTGTTCCTTTCTGTCAGAAGGAAGATGCCCGGCATGAGAAATTACCAAAATTAAAAGAGAAGTTCTGTAACATGCAAAGATTATATATACCTCGGGATCATCTAGAAGTCTGAGCGGACTACTATCTGTACTTAAGAGATCTCTTACAGACTCATTGTAGATCTCCATGGCAGAGAACTTTAGAATGAATTCTCTTTCATTGTGCTGCAGAAAGCAGATAAATGACTACCACGGCAAAAAAATAATGTAGTAAGATTGAGATGAGGATAATATAAAGTTTATTTACCTTGTCAATGTAGTCATATATATCAACCAAGGTGCAGTGAGTAATTCCACTCATAGTGTACGTCTTCCCACTGCTTGTTTGCCCGTATGCAAAGACGCTAGCTGAAAACATGCATGTCAAGATATATATAGGACAAGGGGGGAGAGAGAACAGAGAAAATGGTAGAGAAGGATGGGATACCATTAACGCCACTGACAACTGAGAAAGCCACATCCTTGGCCCCTTGGTCATACACTTGCCTCGTGCAACACTCAGGGCCAAACACTCTGTCTAGAGGCAGAGAATAAGGCAAAGTAAGATAGAAAGAAGGGATGAGGTCGGATCAATTTCTGAGAAAATGGAAGGACCAATATCATCCTACCAAATGTGTAAGCAGAAGGATACATGGAACGCTCAGAGATAGAAAGATGGCTCCGGTAAATGATGGTTGAATTGTTGATGCACTCCCAGTCAGGCACATCATTCCTCAACCTCTCCTTGTCATTTAAAGGTCGCAGACGAACAGAAACATAAATCTTTTCTTCACATCCGCTTGGTGCTTGCATCTGATCCTCTCCCGTAGCCATACCTCTATCCCCCAGTAGAAAGTGACAACAACAATTTATATATATACACAATAGAGGCAACGTCTGAGTTATGAGAGACAAACTCAAATTATTGCCATGACAACAACTCGATCATTGCAGCTCCAAAGTCCAATCATCGTATGGTCAAAAGAACATGTCTCTACCAACTTTAATAATATAAAAGTAGTATATGTTACAGAGAAATCAGAAAACCGAGATTCTTTACTCCTCAGTCTCGAGACAGAGAGGTTTTGGATTTTTGGACAAAATGGTCCCCTTTAAGCAAGTCTGTCAAAAGCTTCAAAACCTAGGCTATATTTTATGGCTACAAAACAAAATACTCATGAATGGAATCGATTACCGTAGGTCTTTAGATCACACAAAGCCGGTTTGTACTGAATGTTCGACCTGGCTCAACGAATCCTTGGTAACTCCATGTGCAGTGAGGAGGACCCGCAAAATTTTGTTTTTTTATTATTATTGTTTCACAAATTACTCACACCTGCCTCCAAACAAGAAAGAAAAATCCAAGATAAAAAAGGCAATTAATCATCAGAGATAGTGGAATGCATCTCGAGAGCATGAACCCAAAGCTTGGGTGAGGAGTCGGAAATTGATGACGAGCTCCTACACTCACAATGGACCTTCGAAAACACACAACATTTCGGAAGCGTAAATTAGCAGCATTCAATGAATTAGCGATTACCTCACTCCGGACACCTATAAACTCCCCCGAGAAGAAGAAGAAGAAGATACGGAATATTTAGGAGAAAAGACCAAACAAACGCAGCTACGACGATAGACGGAGAAGAATCTTGAAAGAGGAGATCCAGAGAAGCGACGATTTCTCCTTTTCTCCTTCTCTCTCTCTCGCTCGCTCTCTGGGGATTAATCAGAGTTTCGCAAATCCGGTTTGCACAGCTGTAATCGTTGATGGCGTTTTCTGCATCGTCGTTTGTTAATTTTGCAATTCTGCTTCTTATTATTAGCGTTCGACTTGAAAGGAAACTGCCGCGCTTTAGTCTAAAGAAAGCAGGTGTTATTACCTTCAAATTACTGTTTTACCCCCTGATCTGAACTACTTTGTTAAACCATTAAAATACTGGATTCACGCACAAATACTACACTTATCTCAGATTTTAATAAGACAAGGGCTGTTTTCTTGTAATGCCGAATCAAATCATTTCCTTTAAACCTAATCACCTATCGATCTTAGTGGCACGTCACAAATCAATCGCATATAGACTGACTTGTAAATGCTTTTGCAAGCAACCAACAAACATTAATTAACTACTCATCTCAATTTCATAACCTTGTTTTAAGTATCTTTTTGGATCGTCATTAATTACTTTATATATAAACACAGCACATGGGTGTTGCAAGACCGCTGTCCATTTTAGTTCCTTTACATTATATACCGCTGAATCAATGCATGTGCTAGTAATGCTTTTTTTCTTATTTATTGTACACCATAATGAGTGCAAAAAAATGTTAATTCCATCGCATATGCATTTTACTGTAAAATATCAGATGTTAATTTGTTTTTCTGAATCGGATGATCAACATTTACAAGAAGCTTAATAAAGCGAGTTACATTACTCGTTTTTCTTCTTTCTTGCATTGCGTACAAAGAGGCTAACACTTGTTGAAGTCCAAGACTTGGGATTAATTGGAAGTAGCGTGGTTGCCTGGTTGGTAGTTGAAGTATTGAAGAGACTAGTGTTTTCTAATTTCCATCATTTTATACAATAATAAAAATATTTATTTAGTAAAATATATGATGGGCAGTATTTAAATACCGTTCAATAATTCCGTGAAGGTACACAGAATTTAATTTGAAAGTGGATCTTAAGGGGGATCTAGACATGAAATAAATTAAGGGGTCATGCACATGATGTGGATGTGAGCAAAACCACATACAGTCTCAACTTTGAGATATCACATGATGATGCGGACAAGTCAACGCTTCTATGACGTTAAAAAAAAAAAGGGTTTTTAATAAACGCTTCTATGTTTTTACCATTTCTCTCATAACAGATGGCTCGGGCTTTCGTCATAAAAGCCCATATTTAGGAATAAAAGCCCATGTTGGGCCTTAATAACAAATTCAGATAATTAAAAAAAAAAATACAGGTATTTAAGTACAATAGGAGTTGTCACAAAAAAAAAAAAAAAAAAAAAAGGTACAATAAGAAAACGGACGTGACTTTGGTCTTTTGAGTCTTTGACGAATTGCGGTACCACACCACTTTCGCATTCCCTCCCCAAACCATCTATAAATCATCCTTGCTTACAAAATTCTGTGATAACTCCGGCAACGGAATTAAGTTTGTTTTCTTACCCATTCTTTTTTTACAGCAGTGACATTAGCATAGCGATCGTAAATGTAAATTTTCGAAAGCAAGGCCAGATTATAGATTGTAGCATCGTTTGGCAGTCAGTCCATAAAATCCCCTCTCAATATTGTAAATCACATGATATCGCTTGTTTCCATTTCTCCATTTATCAAAAAAACTTACGGGATTTTGAAAGATTCTCTTTATTAAAGTGAATGTGCTAATACTGTATTCATTTTTAAACGCCACATTTGCATAATATTTGAAATATTCGAAATGTAACGTACCAAAAACATAAGTAAACAAACTTTATGCTCTAACAACGCTAGAACATTGAAATGGAAAATCTTTAACAGAAAGAATAGAAGACTAACGCGAACGAACACAATACAATATGAGTTATCGAATTGACCAAATCAGTTACTAAGAACTTAACCGAGACTCTTAGCACGAAAAATCTAACTACGATAATAAAAAGAAGTAAATGCTAGAAAATATCTAAAGTAATATACAAAGAAAAAATAAAGTCAATGAGAAACTAACTTTGGGCTAAAACTGATTGAACCGGGTCTCTGATCCTAAATCTCTGCTCTAATTTGAAAGCCCTAAGTCTTCAAAAACTTGGTACAGCTTGTGGGGAGTGAACAAGCTGGTTTAAACCGGTTGCGTTGTCGTCGGTTGGCTCTTTCTTCCGCCGCATCTCCATGACTTTCCGGTGGTGGTTGGAGTGGAGCTCGCTTGAGAATGTCGGGCTACAAGCGGGCCTGTATTCTGGTAGTAAACGACCCGACTTATACCGAACACCACACGCATTGCACAACGTCTTGGCTCCCATGGGTCCTGCTCTCCACTGCGGCGTTTTCTGAATGCCACAGTGGCTGCACCGTCGCTGCTGGAGGGGCTGACCGCTGTAAACAGACTCTGCCGACCTTTTCTTATGCTTTTTGGGAACCGGCGGTTTCTCCGACGTGGCGAATGGCTCGGGCAGCTCAGCGCCGGAGAACCAAGGGCTCGAAGGACCCGAAGAGGAGGATGAAGAGGTTGAACTCGACGACGAAGGACCTGAAGAGGACGACGAGCCAAGCGACCAGACCTTGCCTCCATTCCGGTTCCGTTTGCTGCGAGCTTTAGCCGGAACAGGGGAATTGAAACAGGACTCTTCCGTGGCCGGAGTCACCGGGTGTTTCCGGTCACCGGTTAACCACGCCGGTTTCGTCGAGGTTCCGGTGAGGTTAGGAGCCGAATATTCCATGAAGGAATCGTCTACGAAATGGGAGAGCCATTCAAGGTTTGCTAATTCATCCGCCTTCAATACAAAATTCAAAGAAAAACAAAAAAAAATCAGAGACAAATTAAACTTGAAAATATTTATATAAATCTCCAATGTATCCAAGGAAAATAAAATTACCGGAACTGAGAGTTCGCTAAGAGGGAGAGACCCAAAATCCCGATGAGAAGCGTCTCCGTGGTCATGCGGTTCCTCAGAGGAGGAAACACGGAGCATCTCTTCTTGTTGAGCCTTGGGTTCAACATCATCGTCGGCGAAGACGTCGTCGTTTGACAAGTCAAGCAAGTCGTCCACGGAGAAATCGTCGGCAGGAAAACCAGTCTGAACGGTGGTCATGGCCATACACTCATCGTAAACCGGCGTCGTCGTTTTCAAAGCCATCTCTTTCCTGATACTGCTCTTCAACGCTGCTTCAACACGTTCCATTTCCTATCAAAAACCGAGCTAAACAACAACCTGAAACCAAACAAACAAAAAAAACCAAATCTTTTCATCGAAACCCATCAAATAAATTCACATTCTTTTTTAAACGAAACGTAACGTTCATTATTTGTTTTTCCAATTCCAAGAGAGAGAAAAGAAAATTAAATCACGGACCCCCAAAAAAAAAAATATGACGCCCATAATACTCAATTCCGAAAACGACCCACAAACAGAACTCAGTCACGAGAATGAAAAACCCAACAAACGAAGCAAATTCAAAGACCAAGAAAAGACATGCGAAACCGTTCTAATTCCCTAAGATTGGAGAGAGATTTGGAGAAAATATACCTTGAGACAGAGAGGACAAGGACGATAGAGGAGGCCGAAGGAAGGACCGGTGGTGAGAAGAAGAAGAAGAAGAAGACGAAGATATAGGAAGGAGAAATAAAAAGAGTCAAGGGATGGTTTTGTGAGTTTGGTAATCTCAGCGTCTCCCTTGTCTCTACTAAAAAACTCTTCCTTTTTATCTCTTTTTCTACTAATTTTTTTTTCCTCTAAAGAGCAAAAAAGGTACTTATCGAGAAATGGAATTTACCCTAACCAGCAATGACTTTATAAATTGATGTATCAGTAGATTCTTTGTATAAATTCTACGCGTATTTACTTAGTGGAAAGATACAGAAGATATAACAAAAACGTACTATTCATTAATGGGTAATAGAAGAGATTAGATTTTTCGAAACTGTCTTATGTCAGACTATTTATCTGCTGACATTTCTTTCTGCAATCTTATTTCTTTCCTTTGTTTGAAAATTATTAAAAAAAAAAAAAGGATTACAGTATGCCCTTGACCGCGTTGATCGCCGCTCATCTTGGAAATTATCCTTCCCGCTCCATTGGATTTGATTTTTCCTTTTCTTCTTAGTTAACTTAAAAAAAAAAAATTTAAACGTTAATTGTCCCCATTAATATTTTAAGTTAATTTGTTGGATAAAGGAGGGGGAAATGACGATGATAACCCTAAAGAGTAATAATGGAGAGAAGCATGTCTTCGGAGTAAAGGCAAAGTGAGAGAGAGAGAGAGAGCTGAGATGATGCAGAAACCCAAGACAAATGGCGGGGCCAGCTTTTGTCCTTCTAAGCTTCACCACGACAATATCATTCTCTCTCATTATCCTTCAAACTTTTACCAACAAATAAAAACATTACCTTTTTCATCTAAGAAAAAAATCTATTGAGAGACAAAAGTAAAAATATGTGGAGATTCCTTTTTTTTCTGTACTAATTACCTTACTCAAATTGATGTGGATTCTCTTCAAATCTTCGAGATACCTACAAGTTATCGCTAATAGAGGGAGATAAATCTTGACTTTTTTTTTTTGGTAGCATTTTGCATGTATATTTGTATTCAATATAGAATCTGCATGCTCTATAAACCCTGTTAAATTTTAAAAAACAATGAAAAAAAATCCAACAGTTATTGTGTTTCCAAACCCCGAACGAGCCATCGCTTTTTTTTTATCTGGCAATACTTTTTTCCAATTATGAACAGAGCATTTAAAAAAACAAAAAAATATATTTGATTTTCAATTTTTAGGATTAAAAGTGATATAATACTAAATAAATTTAAGAAAAAATCATGAGAAAATATAATTAGGTGACGTAGAAATAAGGAAAGAAAGTTGTTGATTTTTCAACATTCCTCTATAAGGAGCAGAGCAGCCGGGTTGAGAAGCAGTAGTCACGTGTAATGCCGACGTGCCGTGCTCTGTTTGGCTGTGTCTCATGCGTTTGACGTGAGCCAACCAATCAGAATTCTCCGACGGCTAATCTATTTGTTTCCATATATTCACTCCATTTTTGTTTTTAGGGAAATAAAAAAGCATTGCCTAATTTCCGCTTAGAATTCTTCGTAGACTATTCATTATTCTTATTACACGGGCTCATTAATCCAATCTACATTTTTCAACTATATCATGGTAACATATGTTAATGACGAAACTACCCCCCCCCACTTATCCGTCGGCAGAGCTGCGTTTAGGCGCGTTTTTTTTTTTTTTTTCCTTTTCAGTTTTTCAAATGTCAAATTAATGAGAAGAAAAGTAGTGAGAAGAGCTATACTATACGTCTCACAAGAATTGTTAGCCACTTTTGAATCTTCCAATAGGACCGTACCTGTAATTTTTATAACATTGCACCCCCTACTTCAGAAAAATAATTGTTTGGTTTTCTGATGGATTCGGAAAACAAACAAACAAACAAAAAAATTTTGACCAAAAAAAAAATACAAACAAACAAACAAAAAAATCAAATTTGTAATTTGGAGCGGCCCACAAATACGTTTGGAGCGGGAAAGTCATTCAATTTTGTCAAATACTCACTGCTCTTGTCCGTGGTAGACTTCTTCTGGTACCTTTCACCTTGTAAACTTTTCTTACATTTTAAAACGATCATTACGAAAATTTGGTTTTAATCAAATAAAAAACTTGAGAGGAAATAAAAAAATCAAATAAAAAACTTGTTTCTTTGACTTGTATAAAAATCTAAATACTATAAAAATCTCTACATAATGTGAAAATTAAGAACATATGAGATGAGACAAAAGGACGTTGTCATCTACTAATAGTGTTGACTTTTGAGAACCCAATATGATGATTTTTATTACACATAAGTATACAAAATTATTTATTTGAAGTGGGTGTTTGGTTTGACGTTTGAATGATTTTGGGAATTCTAAAACCTTCCTTACCCTCCTCTTTGCTTAGATTGTGCTAGAGCCCAAATTTGCAAAGACAGATGTGTGTTGTGTAATACCACATTCATTAGGGAAGAGATCCGAGTGATATAATCATCAACTGGGCCACGAGCCTAACAAACTGGGCTCGAAGAGCCCATTTTTTACACCAAATAATATATTACTATTCTAAGGAAAAAATGGTTAAAAGCCCAAAATGTATGTAGTAGACTACTACTAGTAGTATAGCGTAAATGAATTGAAAGCTATCCAAACAAAACAAAAGAAACCACCGAACAAAAAGAAAAGAGAGGGCTTTTTCTCTGGGATTCGACGACCGTAATCGAACGGCGATGGGTAGCCAGCATCGTCGCCGTCTTGCCATCGCGGCGGTGCCGGTACTCCTATTACTCGTGGTTGTCAGCGAGCTGTCAGATTCAGCCGGCGCTGCGAATTCGGTATCGGCTTTCGTTCAGAACGCCATCTTGTCCAACAAGATTGTCATCTTCTCCAAGTCCTACTGCCCGTAATTTCCCATCTTTATTTTGATTTTGTAATTTTGGGTTGCCGATTCAAAGTTTCTTCTTGGTTCATATCTAGTTTAATCCTTAATTCATTGGGGTTTGGACCCTTTAATCGATTATGGGCGATTGATAGAATGAAGCAAATTATGTCTTTGATTCGTCAGGAGTTGTGATTTTTCTTTGCGACTTGCTAGGTTTGCTTGCGTTCGAAACGTATTTTCAGCGAACTTAAGGAGCAGCCATTTGTTGTGGAGCTTGATCAGAGAGGTATCACTTTGTTCCTTTTTCTTCTGAGAAATTAAAAAAAAAAAGAGAACAAAAAAAACACCTTTAAAAGGAGATTTATTTTCCCAGAGGACGGAGATCAAATCCAGTACGAGCTTCTGGAATTCGTTGGTCGCCGAACTGTCCCGCAAGTTTTTGTAAACGGCAAGCACATTGGTGGATCAGATGGTATGACCAAATTTCATCCTTTTCTAATAATCTCTTTGCCAAAATCTGGATCCAGCTTTCCTTTTTTTTTAACTCATAGCCTTGCTTGTTGATCTTGCTTCAGATCTTGGAGCTGCTGTGGAGAATGGTCAGTTGCAAAAGCTTCTTGCTGCAAGTTGATTTTGAGGAGCTGGAAAGTGGGATTAGTGTGATTTTACAGGAATAGGAATCTTTGGTGCTAGTTTTAGACTGAATAAAATGATCTGGTATGTGTCTTGTTGACTGGCTTGATTGTTCCACCTTATATAAGAGTTTATGATGGCGTTGATAATAGTCTTAATCTTTCATTACCGTATTGCGCTGGTGCAATATCCCCATACTTGTGTGCATTAGCGAATGGTTAATGATCGAATTAGGGAAAGAATATCAAATAGAAAAACAATGACGGCTTTGATTAGTCTAGTTAAAGAAGTCTCTTTACCCAAATCTATGCAGCGGGCAAGAATGTTTTGGCTTGTAGAGACTGCTTTTTGCTATATGAAAGCAGAATACTAGGAGGTTTGGGAATTTTTAATGGTCGCCAGAATCCTTTATTGAGCGCTTGATATGCCTCTTGGCTCTTGGACAAAGTTAGATGACGCCCCAGTGCAGTGACTTTCGACATATTCTCAACTTCCCTGATTACATTGGACTCGTCACCAACAAGGCAACAATGAGTTTGCCTCCTGGTCCTACTAATCTAGCAACCCCCTGTCAATAATACAGGAACAATATTTGCACTAATCTATCAACCCCCTGCCAATACAGGAACAATATTTGCATCTACAAAATGAGACGGCATTGTGTCAGGATTGCCAATGAAAATACCACTGCAAGGAAATGGGAGTCTCGTAGAACCCATTACTGTTGAGATGGCTGTGATCTTTCTTTCAAGGAAAAACTGAACCGAGACTCACTTGGTGCGAAAGACAACTCTTTCGCGACCAAAACTCGCCACTCCATTTTACAGTATGGCACATAAAGCTTTTACAAATTAACCTGCAGCACGTAAACTCATCCATCGCACTTAAAAAGCTTTTACGTCCATGGCCTTCTCATCTTTTGACCCTTTCTCTCGTTTAAACACACCAAAAATAAAACAAAACAAAAAAGTTAAAAAATCGTTTGGAATGTGGTCTTTTAAAAATAATTTGAGCCGGTCAATGTGTGTGTATTTGGAATGGAATGATGATTGGAATTGTATTTACTAAAATTTGGAATCGGTAATCGTAAATAATCAAGGGTACAGTACAGTATTGACTTCTCTTTATATGCTGAAACACTTAAATTCGTTTTGGAAAACTTTGATGTTGTGGTTTGTGTGGACCTGTTTTGTCGTCACTTGATATGCAGGATGCAATGCAAATTGTCTCTTATACGTGTCACTTTCTTATTGGAATGCGAAGAAAATTCCCATGGCCCCAGGCCCCCAGTTCCCCTCTGATCTTAAAGTCGCTGCTTTCATAACCATTCGTCTTCTAAAACTCCTTTCTACGTGCGATAACATCCAAGAATTCGTGAGAGAGAATATAACTTTTGTTATAAAAAATTATAATAACAATTAAGTCTATGAAAATAGATTTTGGAAGCCAATAAGAAAGGTGGTACGGAGGAATCTCGGGGACAAATCAAGTGGGCTTAGAGCACTTGCATATGAAGCTTCTCACTTAGATATTAAGAAGAAAAAAGAAAAATATTATAATCATGAAATTTTAGATTTTTTTTTTTTCTCTAGATACCAAATGAGAACCCCTTGATGGAGGTGTTCTTACTTCTTAGGGTGCCAATTGATTTATATTATGTTATTAATGTAAATTACAAAACAATAAAAAAATAATGCATGATTTGTGTATCCGAGTCTTCAAATCCCCATGCACCATTTATTTCTCTTCTTAACAAATAATTAAATCCGAATTAGTATTGCATCTTATTATCATCATGACGTTCTTGCGGTGACGTATATTGATTGATAAAAAGGAGAGCGTAAAGGAATCAATTGTGGAGAGAGAGATTTTTATGTCCAGACATATACATCTGCATAAATGAAGACGCAGACCAGTTTTATACCTTTTTCTGTTCATCCCACTCACCCTCATAATCTGCAAAATTAACCCCCAATCTCTCTCTCTCTCTCTCTCTCTAGCGTAGCGTCTTCACAAAAGAATCCACATGCAGACACATAAATTATAGAAATTTATCTCTATTATACTGACGTGACGTTTAAGTATATTTATATCTGCGTGAACGGACTGTTGGAGCCGAGGAAAAAAAATGGAGTATAGCATAAGAAATCCCAAGCACAAGAGTAACGAAATGTCGACGTTGCACTGGAAATGAGAGAGAACATATATATAAATTCATGTGAGTAAAAAAAAAAAATTCATGTGAGTATTTTGGTTTTACGGTAAGTGAACGTCATCTATGTATATCTCGCTCTTCAAATTTAAATATAGTGACATTATATCACCACACAACTCACTTTAAGAAAAGGCTAAAATTGAAATATATATACACAAAGGGATATACCATATTGCCAAATGTGGTAGTCGTGAACGCACAAGAAACCTCAATGCATGTCTTCATCAGTTCCAATATATATATTTTTCAAAAAATATTGTATTCGAGGTTAACTATTTTTTCAACACGCAAGAAATTAACACGTAACATTTGAAACAGTTCCTAGCAAAATAGTTCCAAGAGAGAAGCCAACTGTTGGCCGACTCATTTAGCAAAACAGTCCCCCCGTGCCTCTGCCTTGGTACAGGAAGTGAACGATTTGGTTTAAGTTGAGTTGAATCAATGAATTTTAGAACAAAAAAAAAAACACATTTTAAAAAAAAAACTAATTGAGAAGGTTTTTAGGTTGAATTAAACATGCAAAGTAAAAGTAATTACTACCCTTGTGGCCTTGTTGCCAAAAAAAAAAGTAATTACTGTGGAAAGCTGCAAAAACAAGGCTGAGTTTAACGATCAGAGGTAATTACTGTGGAAAGCTGGGAAGCTGTTGGATGTGAGCTTTCACAGATACAGACTCGTTGACTTTTTTTACAGTTGAAAACTGGAGTCTATATACAATACAAGCACTTCCAAAAAGACATAATAATTTATTTTAAACGCAAATAATAGAGAACCAGAACTTTCTTTTATAAATGTTGGTAAAAGATAAGTATTAAGTAACAATTAAATTTAGAATAAAAACATTATCTCCGGATTGGGAGGTTAATTACTCTTGACAACACAGATCACCGTTATAATTAAACCCCTCCTCCTCAGTTCAAAATCACTAATTCTACTGTAAGAATCGAAAATGTTATGATCTGTGAGGAATTCAAGCTCTTGGGTTGGAGAAGAAGTGCGTACCAGTCATGAAACTGTTGATCGGAGTAGGATAATTAAGCGAGGCAGGATCAATGTAATGATCTGAAGTGGAGCCAACGACTCCATTGTTGCAGCTCACGTTTGGGCTTGATGAAGACGCCGATGGGCCTGCGGTTATCAGATTCAACGGCTGAGATCCACCGACGGAGGAGCTTCTCTCGGCCGGGCCTTGATCGTACAGGATACCTTTGAAAACGTGACCGCTTATACTCACAGCTGTTTTATATGCATACTCATCTTCCCCATCATCCACCGAACTCACACGTACACACCGGAAAACTGCCGGCGAGCTAACTTCCGGCGGAAAGTTCCCAACCCCTAACCCTAGGTGGGAAAAAATAAAACATTTCTCTCTTATTAAAATGTTTGATTATATAACTACAATATAATCCCTTAAGAAGAACACAATTTAATGTAAGATTTGTTTGTTTTATTATAAACGATTCAAGTTTATTACAATAGATAAAACACAGATATCAAGATCGGCGAGAACAGTTTCTTGCTGTCAATCAAAGAGTCAGTTTTACTCATACACAGTATTTATTTATTTTCATAATGAAACAAGTAGAAGAAAATCATAAACCTTTTTTTCCCTCGAAAACGGAGAAGGAAAGAACAAAAAAGCTGATCAAATAAAAAAAAATAGGGTTTCTGTTTATGCAATTGAGAGTTTGAAACTAATCAACTCAAACTGTACAAAGCTACCATTTCACCGTATTTAAACAGATCACTGCTTCATTTTCAGATTTGAATAACCTAAAAAAAAAAAAAACTAAAAAGGAGAAATATATATATATATATATATTGAGTTACCATATGGGTTGTGACTAGGTATACGAGTGCAGACAAGGGAAGTCGATCTCGCCGGGATGTGCTCTCTCTGCCGTTTAGGAACGCTCAGGCCTTGCGGTTGCTGACCGGAGGCGAGCTGCTGCTGGCGTTCTCGGCGTTTGGCGGCAGGAACCCACGTGCTCTTCACGTGAGTAGGACACTCAAGGCCTCGGCTCTTGCAGCAAGTCCTACACCTCATGTGAGCGCAATCTTTCTTAGCTTGGTTCCCACAGTCCTGGCAGTTCGGTCCGCCGCTGCCACCGCTTCTCATCATCATCAAAGCGTCGCCGGAGGTTTCAAACAAGGTCCGGTTGGTTGGTCCAACGCCTAAACCTGCAGCGGAAGTGTAAAGATCCAACCTTTGTTGCTGCTGGAAAAGCATTTCTTGATTGCTTGGGTGTTGTTGCCATAGCTCAAGGGTTCCTTTGTAAGAAGGAGCGATGTCTCCACCACCAGCGTTTGCGTTTGCGTTTGCGTTTGCGTTTGCGTTTGAATTAGGGTTTCTGCACCAGAGCCAAGATTCTGTTCCGGATGGAGAAGGGTTATAATTACTAGTGTTGGAACTGTGGTGGTGGTGGTGGTGCTCGTCTTGGCTGCTTCCTCCTCCGTCTCCTCCGCCGTTGCCTAGCGAGAAAAAGGCTGCCATTTTCCGACACCACCAGCCATAAATTACCAATTTTCAAGGGCTTCTCTTTTCCCTCTCACTCAGCTCTCATAATTCCCACCACACACCTTCTGGTCTAGCGAAAGAAGAAAAGATGTTTCTAATCTCTCTCGGACTAATTGGGTGAGAAGAAGAAGAAGACGAAAAGAGATTTACTAATTGGAGGAATGTAGAGTTATAGTATAGGGGTTTGTTTCTAGAAATCGAAAAGCTTTTGGGACTGATAAAAGTTGGTTTGTCGGTATGGGGGAGTACTTAAGAGAGAGGGAGATCGTTCAGAGAGTTTTCTTTCTCTGTCTCGCGCTCTGCAACGCCGCCATGACCTTAATACTCTCTCTCTCTCTCCCTCCCTCTTATTAAATTCTCTGTCTCCTCTCTCTCTCTCTCTCTCTCTCTTCGTTTTTAGTTGTTTTCCAGATTTTCCTACATTTATCACTAACACTACTTCGCCAAGTTATAACTCACCGTTGATCATCAAATGTTCAAGATCCTGCGGTGAGAATGTTGCCACGTGCTCTTTTGGCTTTTACTCTCTCCTTCTTTTCTACCGGATAACACGTTGCCTCTTCCCCTTTTTTTGTTTGTCTTTAAATACTTAAAGTACAATTTTTAAAACTAAATTTCTAAACAAAGATGCGACAAATGTTTCTTTGAAAAAATGCTTACATTTCTAGTTTATTATAGTCAAGGTTGGGAGTTCAGGATGAGGAACGCCGATTATCGGTATAGTTGTTCTCTTTTTTTTTTCTAAGATTCTCTCTCGGGTTATAGATTCGACGCCAATTTTTAATGTTATTACTAAAAATTCAGTTTTGGTTGCATAGTGCACATCTGACTTAAATTAGGTGCGTAAAGCTAGCAGCTGGAAAACAGATGATTATCCATGTTTCCAAGGAAGCGAATTACTACAAGTATTATTTATATACCTACAAAATTGTGACAATGAACACCTGTTATGTTCTCCATTATTTTGTGTTGTGTTTGTGTATGAGTATCTTATTAAATGTTTATCAATATACACTGGTATTCAAAGATATCGTTACTATATCATAACGAACTTCTAACATAACTGATCTAGTACCTTATACATATCTCAATTGCTTGAGAATAACAAAATACAGGCGGGGTTAAATTAACAAAAACAAGATATCGGGGACAGTTTAGGGTTTCTATGGCGATGAGGAGAGTTGACTAATGCGAACAGCGATAACATAGCCGTTTCCCAGCAGAATTACACACGAGAGAAAGAAAGAAAAAATGCATTGAATGAAAGTGAGAGAGCGAGGGTGGAATGGATGTATTTATCAAATGGATGAACGTTATTTTTTAATGAAGCTTAACATATTCATCTCACCAAATACGTGACCATTTTTAAAGAAAAGGTGTATTGTCGTACTAATTTGATGAATTTTACATAAACAGTTGTATCGATTTACGGGTTTTGTTGTTTTGACAATTTGTTGTAAAAGGGTTTAACCCAAGTAACAAGTGTAAATTCAAGTGTTATGAATAATGAATGAAAAAAAGGAGTAGAAGGGAAATTGAATTCGACGGAGAGATGCAATCATTTAGGACTGAGAAGTTAAAGAAGGGAGTGGGTAAAAGGGAAAGTGACATTTTCTCAAATTTTATTCTTGTATATTACTACTAGATTACAAATCCATAAATTCCAAATATATCATAACATCATCTATGCAAAATTGTAATTAACAACAAACTCGATTAATGAAAGACTCATCATTAACCCAACATATCATTTTTCTTTTATTTTGGAATGTGAATCTTCAAAATACTACAACTAGAAGAGTTTTCTCAAAAAGAAATGGGTAAAGGCGAAGAGTATTGTGTCTTCTCGAGCCCTGTGTTTAATTGTTTTAGGTTACCATAATTTAAACAAAACTTAAAACAATTAAACTCTCCCACTACCTTTTTTTGTCCATTTATTTGCACTTCAAACGCATCTACCATTCTACTTGATCCGATGTCATATTTCGAAACTTTAAATCAGATGTACATGAGCGAAACATTTGTATAACATCGGATTTATTTATAGTCATTTGAGCACCGACATGAGCTATTCTAGGTGTGGAGTCCAAGAGAAATCAATAAACATTATCTTATATTTGAATTTTTTTCAGCTTAACAAATTTGAGCTATATCAGATATCCTGTCCCTTTAGGATTTCTTCTTGAGTGCATCTATTTAGCAAAACAAAAATTTTCTATTTTAACACATTGTCTAATTTTGAAAGCCCAATAGATTAGCTGCTTTGCATGTTGAAATTAGACTTTTTCATTTTTTAAGAGACGAGTTTGAAAATGTTAGCTTAGCTTTCATCCACTGTTTCTCAAATGTCCGTGTCAAGAATGGGGTTTTATACTTTTTCAAGTCAGTCAGACGATGATGGTAGAGATTATTTTATGGAACGGTTTTGTTATCGACCAAACCTTGATTTAAATATATCGATTGTTGATAAAGAAAAAATAGTAAGCCAATGAGCAAGAAACGAAAAAAAAAAGAAAAAAGGAAACTTGGAAAAAACATTACAAATAGAAAACAAAGAAAAGTGAGTTTGGAGTATAGTATTTGTTGCTTTCTTAATATGACTTTTATATTATACAACAAAAAGTAGAAGTTATAAATTCTACTTAATGGATCTTTTGCTTACATATATAGGCAGAAAGAGAAGAGTGTCTACTACAAAAGAGGCACGTAGTATTTTGAATTTACTTTCATCTATTCATCGCTCCTCCACACTCTTTATAGTTTTAAAAAGGGGAAAGCATAGTTAATCAATTTATTAATCGCCTTTTTATCTTTAGCTTGAATGCTGAAAAGGGCCGGACAGAAAATACTTGATGGGTTATGTTTCTTTTGTTTAAAAGGACGGTGCTTAGAGTTTCTAAAATCTGTCTGTTCTGCACAATCGTAGTTTCTGTTCTCTGTATTCTATATCTCTTCATGAAATGATACACAAGAGTTTCCTTCACCAGTCAGCATCTGTAAATTTCAGGCATAACGTAATGTGATATAATTATGTATACTCAACAGATTTCATGTACTGTGTGATCCACATGGATCCCATTTTTACGTATATTAATGATTATATGTTTCTCATTACTCAAAAAAATTCATCATTTCAAGAAGAAGGAAAACTGAGTATAGATTTGGTCCATGTGTGATTGAAAAAAACAAAGGTTTGGTTCTAGCGGGTCCCAATATAGTGGAGTCATGGTTCCTCCATGGCTCCAAATGTCATGCTCATGCACATGCAGACAGTATTTATTCAATCTACTCGATCGACTTTTATTTTAGGGTTACATATACTATATATATACCAAGCTTACAAATTAACTATACCAAAACTGCTTATTGGTGACTCACACACAAATCAGCTGTTAGCCAACTGGTAAGATTAGAAAAGGGCTGGACTGAAAAATGGCAAAATGAAAAGTAGATCGATCGGGTCGTGGCTCGCGGGTTATCGAAAGTCCCCACACTAGAAACGAAGGTTGGGATGAAAATTAATAGTATAGAGGCTGCTGGAAAAAAGTACCCCTATATATCTTTTTCTCGCGCCTAATATTCTTAATTACTCTATTATCGTAGACCTTGTTAGTTTTTAACTGCGAAGTTTTTTTTATGGGAAACAAAAACTATATATGAAATATTTGATGTTCGTGAAATTCAGGGACAGAAAAATATACAAAAGAAATATATTGCAAAATAGCCTCTCAATCATGTAGCTTAATAACATCTCATATAAGGGATGCTCATTACTAAAACGAAATTGATTAAGGAAAAAAAGAGTGGGATAAGGCCAGTTTTAAAAAAACCAATAGAGTAGAGGGGGATTGAAACGATATTTTGTAAAGTGGGATATTGTTGACAAAACGATGAAAACATCAGCCGTGTTTACAACAAATAATAGAATTTATAAATTATTTGATGGAAGGACAAGCAGAAGCAGACCGTCCGATCAATCATCATGTAGAAAATAGAGAGCAATTACGCCTACCAGAAATGGTAAACTTGGCAATGTCCATGCTTTTCGGCCTCAACTCATTGTATAATTTTTCCTGTTATTATATTGTATGATTTTTTCATACTTTATGTGTTTATACTTTATCCACATAATAATTAAGACCACTCATAGCTTTCACGTTCCCATCGAAGTATGTAGTCCACTAGCGTGGCCCAAAATTCTATAACCATCTTTTCCTTTTCTCTGATTTTACAACCAATCTATAACTAAACATATACTATTTTTTTTAAGTTTTTCAATTATTACTGCTAACCTAAAGTAAAAGTTTTACTATAATCATATTAAGGAAAAAACTCTAATTTTATTATTTCCACAAACAGTGTATATATACATTACATAACTAATATATCAGAAACCCTAATGAGCCATGAGACATTAACCTGATGGTTAATGGGCCGGTTACTAGAAGTCCATTTGTTTATAACACTCCCCCTTGGACAAGGTAACCGTGCTTGTCACAAAACCGGGATCTCTATAATACGCTGGGAACGTTGCCTCATTAAAACCTTACCAGGAAAACCCAGTGGGAAAAACCATGGTGAAGGAAAAAGAGTACAACACGCATTACTCCCCCTGGTTTAGGCATCACTGTAGATCTCTAAGTCTACGCATTCCTATCTGATGAATGAGCTTCCGGAGTGTAGAAGTCGGTAATAATTTAGTGAATAGATCGGCTGAATTTTCGCTTGATCGGACTTGCTGAACCTTGACCTGACCATCCTTCTGCAGCTCATGAGTGAAGAAGAATTTGGGCAGAATATGCTTCGTCCGGTCACCTTTGATGTAGCCGTCCTTGAGTTGAGCGATACAAGCTGCATTGTCTTCATACATCACCGTAGGCTCCTTATCTTCGTCCATACCACAATCTGATCGGATATGCTGAGTCATGGACCGCAACCAAACACACTCTCTACTAGCTTCGTGGATGGCCAAGATTTCCGCATGGTTGGATGAGGTAGCGGCAATAGTCTGCTTCATGGATCTCCAAGATATGGTTGTTCCTCCATGCGTGAAAACATAACCGGTTTGAGACCAGGCACAGTGCGGATCTGACAAATATCCTGCATCAGCAAAACCAACTAGACCATCCTTGTTATGGTTAGAATAAAATAATCCCAAGTCCTTAGTACCTTGAAGGTATCTAAGGATGTGCTTAATACCGTTCCAGTGCCTTTGAGTTGGACACGAACTAAAGCGAGCTAAGAGGCTCACGGCAAAGCAGATGTCTGGTCTAGTGTGACTAGCCAAGTACATTAATGCTCCTATGGCACTGAGGTATGGCATTTCAGGACCGAGGATTTCTTCATCGTCCTTCTTTGGACCGAATGGATCACTATCCAATCCAAGGCTCCTCACAACCATTGGGCTGGTCAATGGGTGGGCCTGGTCCATATTGAATCTTTTGAGTACCTTTTCAGTGTATGCCAATTGATGCACAAGGATTCCGTCATTGACGTACTCAAGTTATAATCCCAAACAGAATTTAGTTTTGCCTAGGTCTTTCATTTCAAACTCTGCTTTTAAGCATTCAACTGTTTGGGCGATTTCACCAGATGTTCCGAGGATGTTCAAGTCATCCACGTATACTGCTATGATTACAAATCCTTTGTTTTGATATTTTCTGATGAAGATGCATGGACTGATCAGATCGTTTTCGTAGCCTTCTCTGATGAGATATTCGCTTAACCGGTTATACCACATACGTCCGCTTTGTTTCAGTCCATATAAGGATTTGTTCAGCCTAATGCAGTGTTTATCACGAGATGCATGCTTATCTTTGAGCTCAATATCATCTGGTAATCTCATATAGATTTCACTGTCCAGTGGTCCATAAAGATATGCGGTTACAACATCCATTAACCGCAAATCTAAGTTTTCTCTTATGGCCAGACTTATGAGGAATCGAAATGTAGTTGCATCCACCACTGGAGAATAAGTCTCCTCATAATCGATTCCGGGTCTCTGTGAGAATCCTTGTGCTACAAGGCGTGCCTTGTATCTAACGACTTCGCCGAGTTCGTTTCTTTTACGCACAAAGACCCATTTGTTTCCCACTGGTTTAACATCGAATGGTGTCCTTAAGATCGGACCAAACACATTCCGTTTCTTTAAACTATTCAACTCCACGTTTATGGCTTCTTTCCATTTCAGCCAATCTGATCTACGAGTGCACTCAATTATAGACGTGGGTTCTAGATCCTCTTGCGTATGCGCAATCTCAAGTGCTACCTTGTATGCAAAAGTTTCATTGATTTCGATATCTTTTCTGTTCCATAGAGAACCGAATATGATATAATTGATTGAGATCTCATTATTATCAATCCCTTCAGAACCTTGAGTTTTGGCGTCCCAAACCTCTTGAGATGGTTCGATAGGGTAAGTATCAGCTGAGGCTGTATCCGTGTTCTCTTGAATCCCAGTTTCAATCATTGCACCTTTCTTTGATTTCCGGGGATTCTTATCTTTGGAACCTGGTGGTCTGCCACGTTTCTTACGTGCGTCAGACTCTGTAGCAACTTGACTTTTCCCTGAGGGGACATCTATTCGTACTGGTGTATTACAAGCTGGTATGTACGATTTGGTAACTTTGTTCGGGTCAGCAAAGGAATCTGGCAATTGATTAGCTAGCTTTTGTAAATGTATAATTCTTTGGACCTCTGAATCACATTCTAGAGTCCGAGGATCTTGCCATTGTGTGGATGTTTGATTCCATGAAAGTTCTTTTACCAGCTTGTCTGTCTCACCACCTAATCTAGGATATACCGATTCATCAAATCGGCAATCTGCATATCTGGCTTTAAACAGATCTCCTGTAGTTGGCTCGAGATATTTTATGTTGGTGGGAGAATCAAAACCAACATATATTCTCATCCTCCTTTGAGGTCCCATTTTAGTCCTCTGTGGTGGTGCAATGGGTACATAGACTGAACACCCAAATGTTTTAATATGGGAGACGTCTGGCTCATGACCCGTTAGCAATTGGGATGGTGAATATTTGTGCTCACTAGATGGTCGTATGCGTATTAGTTCAGCGGCATGTAAGACTGCGTGTCCCCAAGCTGAGACCGAGAGTTGTGACCTCATGAGTAATGGTCTAGCAACCCATTGAATTCGTTTAATGAAGGATTCAGCTAATCCATTTTGTGTATGGACATGTGGAACGGGATGTTCAACACTTACCCCCATGGACATACAATATTCATTAAACGCTTGGGAAGTGAATTCACCAGCATTATCAAGACGTATAGTCTTTAATGGGAAGTCTGGAAAATGGGCTCGTAATCTGATGATTTGGGCCAATAACCTAGCAAAAGCCTGGTTCCTAGAAGAGAACAGACAGACATGCGACCAGCGGGTCGATGCGTCAATGAGGACCATGAAATATATGAATGTCCCACAAGGTGGGTGAATTGGTCCACATATGTCTCCTTAGATTCTTTCCAGAAAGTTCAAGGTCTCTTTAGACACTTTGACTGGTGAAGGTCGGGTAATCAGTTTCCCTTGTGAGCAAGCTGTGCACTTGAGGTGCTGAGGGAAAATACCATTTGGTTTAAGGCTGTGCCCTTTAGAATTCTGGACTAATTTACGCATCATGTTCGCACCGGGATGACCCAGGCGATCATGCCAAATAGTGTAATCTAAAAAACGTGCTTTGATAGCAGCATTAGCCTCAATCATACTGACTTTAGCATGGTAAATGCCAGTAGATACGGCGGGTATAGTTTCAAAAACTTGTTTATGGCCATTTATCATTTTAGTGATAATTAAAAACTCTTTGTTCCCTTCATCCTGAGTTTCGATATGGAAACCATTCAATCTTATGTCTTTGAAACTCAATAGGTTTCTCTTAGAACTGGGTGAGTATAAGGCATCAGAGATGTCTAGATATGTGTCATTTGATAACAACACATTAGCTTGGCCATGGCCCTCTATTAAGCTCGAACAACCCGCTATAGTGCTAATGTTTGCGGTTTTGATTACTAAATTTATGAAGTAATTCTTGTCTTTTAGAATGGTGTGGTTCGATCCACTATCCACAATGATATCCATATTGTCTTGCATATCTTTTCGCCAAATGGATTTCTGACCGGCTTATGATCTGGGAGCTAAAGACCACAGATATCTACTGAAAACTCTTGAGAATGATGGCCAGAAGGGAGGACGAACAGCTGCTACAATGGAGGAACCACCGCTTGGAAAGAATCACCCGCTAAGGTGGGATAGCGCCGATTGTTTTGAGTCGTGAGGACGCGTCTCGTGTCGGATTGAGGAGCGGTTTTCACCACTAGATTCTTCTCTTCCAGGGCTTCAAAATGATATGTAGATCGCCTTCTAACTCCTTGTATTTTTAGAGATATGATCGTTTGAAGTTGAGCTTTGTGCTGATAACTTATTAAGGGAAAAACTTTAATCTTATTATTTTCACAAGCAGTGTATATATACATTACATAACTAATATATCAGAAACCCCAATAGGCCATGAGACATTAACCTGATGGTTAATGGGCCGGTTACTAAAAGTCCATTTGTTTATAACAAATCCATTATTTTTTCAGTTTTGTTTTTTTTACCAAAGGACATATGAAAAAAAAAATCTCAAATTTCGTTAATCGTTACCGACGTTTATACATTTATTTGTTAGTGTCCAAGTCCTTCCTAGCCTTAGATTCAAACCATAATTTTTGGAGTTTAGTCTTTTTTTTTTTAACTTTGGAGTTTAGTCTCTTGTAAAAAACAACAACAACAACCAGTAAAACTACTAATATTTGATAATTCTTTCAAAAAATTTGAATAAAAACCCTCAAAATAGAATATTCCAACAAGAACTAATTTTCCGTGGTCTTATGATTCAAATGTTTGCTTAGTTTTTTTTAAAAAAATTAGTGGTTAAAATGTTCTAATACGATTTCAATTATATTTGATCATTAGAAATACCCTAAAAAAAATAATATACGGCTATTCCATAAATTCTAATGATGAGTGAATCTTCAAACTTGGGATTTGAAATCTTACCAAACATTACAAATTTACAAATTTACAAATCTACTCCGCTTCAACTTCCGCTTCGATAAACTACGTCGTTTCAACTGTTAAAAACGTTTTCGGGAAAAAACCGCCTGTCGTTTTCCCCGTCGCAGGTCGAACGACACGCCGTCTTTGAAATTTGTATAATACCCCACATCTCACGTGACAACCAGCACATGACAGTCTTATCTTATTTTTGTCGTATCAAGAAACCACTTAAAAAGGAAAAAAAAAAAAAAAACAGATCTCTCCGGCGGAGAAAGATGTCTCCGGTACCGGAAAGAACAAAGCTTCACATAGCGATGGCGGTGTTTCAGACAGGCTACGCCGGGAATCACGTGATCATGAGATTCGCCCTAAACTTGGGAGTCAGCAAACTCATCTTCCCACTTTACCGAAACATCATAGCTCTCTCTGTTCTTGCTCCCTCTGCTTTCTTCCTTGAAAAGTATACACTTTCTTTAAATATTCTTTATTCCAATTTTTATAATCTTTCTGATTATTAGTGTTATTTGTATATTCTAATAACAGAAAAGAAAGGCCGAGGATGACCACCAGTTTACTGATTCAGTTCTTCCTTCTTGGACTTGTTGGGTACGATTTCTCTCTTAAAGCTTGGATTTTAGATCGGAGAGACTTATCATTAAGTCCAATGATTAAATTTCTTTTTTTTTTTTTTTTTGGTGGGGGCTAATGCCTTATAGCATAACATTAAATCAAGGATTCTACATCTTTGGATTGGACAATACCTCTCCAACATTCGCATCAGCAACTGAGAATGCTGTTCCTGCTGTTTCATTCCTCATGGCCGCATTGCTCGGGTATGTATGTTTTATAAAGTTCTCACTTTCACTCATACCTCAGTAATATAATATGAAACACCATTGTAGAATAGAGAAGGTAGAACTGAAGAGGAGAGATGGTGTAGCCAAAGTGGTGGGCACATTCGTATCGGTCGCAGGTTCGTTGGCTATAACGCTCTATAAAGGGCCAACCATTTACCAACCGAGTCTGCGTTCAATGGACCAACCTACAAATGCTGGAGAAGCAGAGGAACAAAACAAGAACTGGACGTTGGGATGTGTCTGCTTGATGGGTCACTGCTTATGCTGGTCAAGCTGGATTGTGTTGCAGTCACCATTGCTTAAAAGGTACCCTGCCCGATACTCCTTCGTCTCCTACTCTTGCCTTTTCGCCGTGTTCCAGATCGTTGGCATCTCTGCTTATTTTGAGAGAGATTTAGAGAGCTGGAAGATAAAATCAGGAAGAGAGATGTACGCGTTGCTATACACTGTAAGGGGTTTTTTTTTGTAGATTAAGGTTGTTGTGTTTTTTTTGTTTCTTTAAATACATATTGTGTTTATTTAGTTGATTTAGTATATATATATATATATAGGGATTGGTGGGTTCAGGGATGGTGTTTGCAATACAGATATATGTAGTGGAGAGAGGAGGACCTCTGTTTGTATCAGCGTATTTGCCTCTTCAAACTTTACTTGCTGCTCTTCTAGCCACTTTTGCTCTTGGCGAACACTTGTACCTTGGAGGGTATGTTTGTTGGTTCTACTCAATATATATAATAATGATAATAATGTCATATCTTATACATTTATAATGTTTGCTTGTAAGCAGATTGATTGGGGCAATACTAATCATATGTGGACTGTACTTGGTTGTGATGGGAAAGAGTTGGGAGAAGGAAGCTCTTTGCCAACAGCAACACATGATTTTTTCTGCATCAGAAGAATTTGGTGATGAAGGAAACAATCATAATAATAAGCCAAGATCTTCTATCATTCAACCATTAATTGGAGACTAATAAAAATTACACCATAATCAATATGTTAAATTTTTTTTGGGGTGGAGATTAATTTGATGTCGTCAATTATTCTTTTGTGGGTAAAGATCTTTGCTTTCTTTGAATCTAATTCTGTTGTTGTACTTGCATTTCCGTAAATTTAATTTTGAGTTATTTTTGTTTTTCCTATAGTAGATATATAGTAAAGGAATAAATTATCGGCAATGGATTGTATAAGAAGAAGAGGTAACGACGCAATGTTGTTTTGTAAAATGAAGGAAGGAAGATTTCTGACATAACGAAAAAGTGATGATTCTTGGATTGAAGAAGCAAACGCAAACCCTGGGCATAGTCAAATCAGCAAGCTCCTACTACTTAGCTTCCCGACGAAATTATCACTCGTGGAGTGGTCAAGTGGAGAAGAAGAAGGAACAGGATGGGTTGTTTCTGCACAAGAGCAAAGGCCAACACCTTCTTACCAACAACAGAATCCTCGACGCCATTGTCCGAATCTCCGATGTCAGGCCGACCGATACAGTCTTGGAGATCGGACCTGGTACTGGAAATCTCACGATGAAGCTTCTAGAAGCTGCCCAGAATGTCGTCGCCGTCGAGATAGATAAGCGTATGGTGGAGATTCTCGGCAAAAGGGTTGCCGACCATGGTCTTGAAGATAAACTTACGGTAAAATGCCCCTTCTTTCTTTGTTAAACAAATTACCAGTCTTCTTTGATATTCCGTTTTTCTCGCACACAAACTGTTCGATGAATTGCCCAGAGACAAGTCTTTCTATCTGCCTACTCTACATATATAATATAGAATTATCTCTTACAGATTATTCAGAAAGACGTCCTGAAGACAGATTTCCCTCAATTTGATCTCGTGGTGGCAAATATTCCGTACAACATATCTTCCCCTCTTGTAGCGAAGCTTGTCTACGGCTCCAATGCCTTCCGCAGCGCCACGCTCTTGCTCCAAAAGGAATTCTCCCGCCGCCTCTTGGCGAATCCGGGAGACTCCGATTTCAACAGATTGGCCGTGAACGTGAAGTTGGTAGCTGATGTTCAATTCGTCATGGATGTGAGTAAGAGAGAGTTTGTTCCACCCCCTAAAGTTGATTCATCTCTAGTTATCATCAGGCCAAAGGAGGTTAAACCAGATGTTGATGTTCAAGAATGGCTGGCGTTTACTCGCACGTGTTTCGGGAACAAGAATAAGACGCTTGGTTCCATGTTTAGGCAGAAGAAGAAGGTCATTGAGCTGCTGAATTTTTCTGCTGGGAGGAATGGTGCCAAGGTTGGAGTTATGAACCAGAAATGTGGTAATTTTGACAGTGAAGTTGAAGAAGCTAAAGACGAAGATGAAGATTGGATAAATCATTCATTGTGTTTGGATACAGATGCTAGTAGTATGTTCAAGGAAAGGTTAATTGGAGTTCTGAGTTCGAATGGGTTCCAAGAGAAGAGACCATCCAAGCTTTCTCATGGTGAATTATTACATTTGCTTTCTTTGTTTAACCAAGCTGGCATTTTTTTCCATGATATTACTTCCTTACCAATGGATCTTCACGAATAATCAATACTACTCATTCTCTCTAGTAAGAGCCATAGCATAATATCACCGGCTTCTGACAATTAAAGACAACATCTGATGATAGCTATTCTCGATCCTCCTCTGCTAATACAAATAAACAGCAGAGTGAACATTCATCTCGAATAGTGCAGAAAAAAAGACGAGGGAACAAAATTCAAAAAAGTATTTCGTCGGATGCAAGCAACAAACCCTAAAAGCCGGGGGTGGGTTTTGCTCGATCTCGGCGGAATAACTAAGATGAACCCGAATAGTAAACGCAATTATGATATAGAGGAAGATATGATAATCGCAATTTGGGATACGGAGTCGGAGCTTTACACTCTCTCTACATGCCGTGCCTATCATCACGTAGTTTTTTTACTATTTTGTGGGCCGTTCTTTAACTCATTGGACTAATCAACGAAACCTAGTATGACCAAGAGGTCCAAGACTGTAAAGCCACCCCACCAGAAAATTGGCCGTATTGTCAGCTCAACCGATTGCTGAAGATGCGAGAGTCTTTCGCTGTGATCGTTACTTTGAGCCATGATGTATTCCAAGGCACTTAATACTGTATTATGTATGTATATGAAAAGAATGATTTTGATTTTGGGCGTGACAAGTCTCCTTCTATGTATGCAAGTTCCATTAGCAAAAAAAAGGGATCTACTCTTCATGTTGGAGGCCGTTTTAGCAATTTCAGGACGTTTTCATAGACGATGAATGTGATGGAAGAAGCAGGCACATTTTTCAAAAGATTAGCCGTTAGTCCCCTGTAGAAACCTCTGAGACCCTCGAATCTGCAGAAACCCAAGTGATGATTAAGTAAGATTTAACCAAAATTATCATATTTTCAGACACAATCCAGACCAAAATGATTATGCTCTAACCTTGCGGTTTCTCTGATGACATGCAAACTGTCTATATATCTTGGAATTCCGTTAGTACTAGGCCGTTGCTGAACATAAGCAAAGAGAGATGTTTATGGAATACTCAAAATACTTGCTAAAGATCAGAGGTTGGACTATGGGAGTTCAAGGAGTTTAGATTTGAAGCTAATGTTAATAAGATTGAAGACATCATAAACAGGTACCTGTAATCGTGCTCGAATAACCTGAAATGGATATGTAAGAATAACTGCAGCGACTTTGGAGGAGCCGCCAAGTGCAGCATAGTCTACCGAGTTCTACAGAAAACAAACCAAAACAAAAAAAAAATGCAAAGGGAGTGTGTGAGAATATTATATCCGTGATGCAGAAAAAAATAGGTAACGAAAAGAATCAAAATGCAGGCTATGAAGAAGGGAAACTCTGTACCAATATCTTATCAGCGGATTCTGATTTTCTTCTCCTTTCTTTCAAATCCACAATGACTTTACGGAGTTCCTCATACGCTGTGAACTGAATAGCACCATGAGAAACCTGCTGAATAAACTAAATCAGAATCAACCCAAAATCTGTAAATCTTTTCATCTGCAAGACCCTTTTCGATTGTTCCAAAACCTGAGGATCTTGTGGTACTTCTATTATCAGGATAGTAACTAACCAGAACAAGGCCAGGGACGATACCCTTGTAGAGCGCCCTGGGTCCTTCCTCTTTCATTATGGTTCTAAAGGCATCTGAAATTTACAAAAGAAAACATTCACAAAAGAACACTAAAAGAATGAAAATATAACTACTTCAGCATAGTTGCAGACCTAATAGCCCCGAGTATGGTCGGGTTTGATGAAGAGGTGTTTGCAGCTGTAATCTTGTTTTGACAAGCCAAATCGGATTTGTGCATAAACACACCTGAAATATCATAATAAGTTTGAGGTCAAGATCGGAAAACCATAGGAGAAATGAGATGTTTATGGTGTCTGTTATACTCACCAAGGCTCCTGCTTCAGCAGCAGAAGCAAGGTGAAGACCAGGGCTGAGTTTCTCTTCCTCTCTGCCTCGAGCGTGTCTCTGTTTGGCTCTTCCATAGCTAATATCAAATCATTTAAACAAGATCCACCGGTAAAAATAAAATAAAAAAGAGGTAGATACTCCACGACCTAACAGATATGTGTTGGCGAGAGATCAAAAACAGTATTAACGCAACAACATCCTACGAGAAAAAAGTGTAAGGTAGGCAAAAAGGAGAAGCCTTTCTTCACTTGACAAGCCGAATCACAGCTTTTGGTTGATAATAAAACATAATGCAAGATGTGTGCAAAACAAATATAACACTCACAAAAAGAAGTATAAGCCCCATGAAACAGTAGAACCGATTACAGCAGGGAAGAAACCTGCATAAAGTCCCCTCAAACCCTACGGAAGATTGAAACCAAATGAGTTATATCAGCTAAAGCAAAGAAAAAGGTGATGACTCACAAAACACATGAACCAGAAGCGTGGATTGGAGTCCTTCATTACTCTAATCGATAAACTAACAAAGTGGAAAGTGATGAGGCGACCACATTGCATAGAAAAGGAAATACGAAAACACAAACGGACTCAATACAAAAAGGGTAAGAGAGTTTCTTCTCGCAAACCTCGAGACGGGCAATGGTGAAGACAGCGTGAGCTGTGTTCTTGTACGTCGGGAGAATTGACCTTCTACCGTCGTTGACTGTTCAATCAAGTGAGCAACTTTTGACAAATCGATAAGTGAGAATCGAGTTTTTGGTAAGTTCACACAAGTGAAAGGAGAGACCTTGGAATCTCGTGCGGACAACATCAAGAGGGTGCATAGCGGCGACAGTGGCGAATCCAGCGACGGCGCCGGCGGTGGCGTTTTCCCACTGCCACGGTGCCGCCATAAAAGGATCCTTGGATACAATCAAGTCTATCAATCCGACCTAATCGCGATTGCTTACAAAGGCAATTCGGGAGTTAAAGAACACATCTCTGTCGCGTTAAGGAAGCGAAAGGACAGTCGATGAAAGATTCGCCGTCCTCTAGTACGATCTCCGACTCGGAGTTTCCGTCCAAAGCTTTTAAAACTCAAGGTCCCCAAAATCCTGGAATATTTTTAAAACTGCCCAGGGCCCAACACTTTAAAATAACACGTAAACTCCCCCATACTTTAACTAAATTCAAAAATGGCCCCAATACTTCAGAATGCACGTTTTAGTTATATATATTCAGCACCGATATGCCATATAACCTCAAGAGTCCAAGACCATCGTGCCATCACAAGCCGATTTGCAAGTAAAGTAAAGCAAATCAGTCATATGAAATAGGATCACTTTAGTTTTCATAAATATTCAAACACCAAATACACACTAATACAAAGAAAGCCAAAAGAAATAAAACTCTACATATAAACCAAAAACTCAATCACACCAATGACACGTCCATACCAAAACCAAATGCATGAAAATCATATAGATATATATATATATATATATATATATATATTTTAGTCATAGAGATCATATATGATTAATAAGCATGGTTAACCCTACGACAGATTCGCCGGATCTCTCCCCTCATGCCAGTCAACGGAGAGATATTCCCCATCTTCACCATCGATTTCGCGAACTGCTCGAAGAACGCCTCTTGATTCTCAGCGTAGAGCTTCACGAGCTCCTTAGACTCTCTGTTCTTCGTGAACAGAATCTCATCGGAGCTCAGTAGCCCTTTGTACATGATCAGGTTCTTGAAGTAGTGGTTGTCGAACTTGAACGGCGTCACAAAGTCGAGGGAGAAGAGGTTTTGGTCACCGCCTGATCTAGGACATTGCTTACGCAACACGTAGGCGTAGTATTGGTTAAGTGTTAGATCTGGCTTGCCGTTGCCAGACTGGTTGTATAACCTCTGCCGGAAACTTGTGCACCTCGAGTTTCCAATCGTGTGACTTCCTACAAATCATATACATTGTATATTTTTACATACAACTATTGTAACCTCTTTTAAAAATCACAAATTAATGTGTTATAAGTTTTATTGGTGATTTCTAACTCAAAATTCAAAATGAATTTGCTAAGTAGTAGACTGATCGTATATTAATCCATGTCTCATCGGAAGAATTAGTACTATAGTACTAGCAAACTGAAATCACCAAACTATGGTTTTTATCAATCTGGTTCTACGCCCCCTTAACATATTCGTAGATGTTGTTTTTTAAAAGTTAATGTAACAATACTTTTTATAATATAAAAAGGCAGAAATAATAAAAATAAAATATGGGGTTTTTCTTACGAGTTTTTGAACATATTTTTTTTTAGCAAGATGAGTTTTTGAACATGGGTTGATTACTATAGGTAAGCTCTTTCAATGTGTCTTGCGTAATTAAGATAGATAGAGCAAGGGTATATACCAGAGAGGGAGACAAGATCGACGAGATTGAGGCCTTGACGCTTGAACTTAGTGAGGATGGTTTGAAAAGTGTTGTTGGGAGCAGGAATGTCATTGTTGGAACCACTCAAGCTTGCTCCTCTTGCATCTCTTCTTCCTAGAGGTACTTCCCAGCTCGGTCCACCCGTCTATATGTATATATGTCCATTTGTCGAATTAATAAATTCGTAATGATAATTAACGATCAAGTAAATTTGTGTTTTTAGTGAATCGTGATGACTTACAATGACAGTTGAGTCTCTAGCGGCTAGAGCCAAGATATCAGCGCAAGAAACTGTTTCAGGACATGCTTGTTCTAAGGCTTGTTTGATTTCTTCGATGAGCTCGAAACCACGGGCTGAGTCACGGTTAGGGTTTGATCGTTTCTCGCTGATTATGGTTCCACTGCTGTCCAATAGTATGGAAGCATCACATCCCTACAATACCAAGCACAACAATAAAATTATATATAATTACAACTTTTCCTGCATGTATATATTGTTAAAGTAAACAATGATGTAGCTAAGCTTAAAACCTTGACAAAACAATCGTGGAAATGAAGTCTGAGCAAGGAGGCAGGCATGCGAGGGTCATGTGCGAATGCTTTAGCGACAATGGACTGAACAATCTCTTGAGCTTTAGGACACGAGTGATCGTAGAACTGAGGGAAGAGGTAGCCGCCACTTCCGTAGGCTTTGGAACACAAACAAAGAGGAGAGAAGGCGATGAGGGAGAGAGCTACGATGAGAATATTCAATGACTTGGCCATTTTTTGGATTTCTTTTTCTTGATGACTCGTTGGGTTTAACTGGGTTTCTTGTAAGCTGGTGATTTTTTGTGTGATAGAAATGATTTCATTTATAGGTTAGACTATGTGGACATATGAGAAAGACGTTGGAGTTGGTAACTAATTTTTGATATTGGGTTAGATGGATACATTATTCTTTTAAGGATTGGTATGAATACAGGATTTGTTAGGCTTTTGTTGTATTCCCCATGTATGCAATTCATATGTCATATATCATAATTATATTTGCAGTTGGTTTTGGTATTGTTATGGTTTTCTTAATAAGTCGAACGACAATAAAATCAATTAGAGAAATACTTTAAAAAAAAAAAAATAGTTTAGTTTCTAAACATAACACATCAATTAAAATTCCGAAAATAACACAACTAGTTATGTAAAATATTTGTTTATTTTAGATACAATAAAATAAAAATATTATGTCTGGTTTCTTTATTTTCTATTTAAGATTTGGTTTTTTAAATTAGAATTATTTTTGAATCATTTTAGTGCTACTATAAACTAGTGCTATTAAGTTTGAAAATAAACTTAAAAATGTCTATTACCCAATAATGTAGGGGAAAAAAAAAAGAGGTTCTCAGGATTTTATTTCCCTCGACAATTACTAAATTTTGGATGTTCTCGACGAGCCAAACAAATGTCTCGAACCAAATCTTTCTGAAGAGTCCCTTGGCGTTGGCGGCAAGCATCTTGTTGTTTTTTTTTTTTGTGTAACAAGCATCTTGTTGTTTACATGTATTTCCAATCAATAATGTGGACTTTTCGTTACACGTATTCCCCATTAAATCAGATCTTTAATTTAGTCAAATCTTTATCAAACGGAAAAGATGTTTCCATGGATTTTTCATATTAAAGTTAAGAGATTAGCCTGAAAAATAAGCTACGCAACACAGTTGCGCCTGTATTGTTTTTACTTGGTTGACCATTGACAAGTTGGTCAAAAGAAAATACTGCTTATTGAGAAAGCAAAATTAACAATCCTTGTGTGCTTAAGAAACAGATACGGTTGCTAGAGTAGTAGGACAAAGACATAAAAACGGTATAGATAATGACAAAATCATTGAGAAACAGCTCCAACTGCTCTCCCTCACAAAACCAACCAAACTATTTTTCCTTTTGTTTTCGTGCAACAAAGAAGAACAAATTACGATAAGCAACACATCACAAGATAAAATTTTGGTTCAATGGGTAATTTTTTGGGTCTTTTATTCAGCTTCGATAATAAAATTGCATAAATGTATTTTCTCTGAATATTGTTCTTGTAAGCGAAGTTTTCGCCTGCATTTAGAAATAAAGAAAAGGCCAGCAGCCCAATTTCTCCAATTCTCAGTCCGCCCGATATAGCGACAAAGCACGAAGCTCCGTAACGGGCCTAATTCAAGCTTAAGGTTCTCGGACTAACAGTTTGCCCAATCGTGTGTGTTACGAAAAATGTATACATAGGATTCATGTTTAGGCACAAAAAAACAAGAAAGATAAATTGAAACAAGCGTTAAAAAGGAAGATACGTATACATAGATAAGCAAGTAGAGAAATAAATACATGTCAAGAACATAAAAAGAGCCAACTGCACGCTCATACACACTCCTCTCTCACACTCGAATACAACACATCGCAGGACGTAGAGACATAAAAGCAAACGTACAACGACCATATACGACTGAGTTTCCTTTATTTTTATATTTTATATGTATACAAAGTTTAAATAGTATTCAGCTTAACGACCACCACCACCAGGAAGTTTATCTTTGATCTTGTCCATCATCCCCTTCTTCTCATGGTGCTCTCCACCATAGCCTCCGGCATCATAACCGGTGGTAGCTCCCATCCCCATCCCTTGGGATTGACCAGACTGATCTTGACCTGGCAACTTTTCCTTAATTTTATCAGTTATTCCCTTTTTCTCGTGGTGTTGGCCGCCGTAACCTCCAGCATCATAACCGGTGGTAGTTCCCATTCCCATCCCTTGAGATTGACCAGACTGATCATGTTGACCTGGCAACTTTTCCTTAATTTTCTGAGTTATTCCCTTCTTCCTCCTCCCACCTTGTCCATCATCCTCCTATATATGAATATATGATAATCAGAATTATTAATATAGAACAAGAATTCATATACACAAAATTAAATACGTCGCATCTATAACACACGAATGTTAATATGTATATATACCGAGCTAGAGCTGGATCCGGATCCAGAGCGGTGAAGCATTCCTCCCAAACCACCGCCACCTTCCTTATGGAGTTGCTCCTGACCGTGGTGCCTAGCTCCTGCGCCAGCTCCCAAGGCTCCCGTTCCGTATCCTTCGCCACCAGTGGCTCCTCCGCCGTATCCTCCACCAGTTCCATAACCTGCTCCTCCTCCTCCGGTCGCTCCTACACCGCCAATTGGGTTACCGTACTCGTCCAACTGTTGCATCGGGTTTCCATACTCGTCAGTGGCCTGAGCTCCTGGTCGGTTCTGGTAAGACGCCATCTTGTTCTTCTCTTTCTTCTTCTAAGCAAACACTTTTCAGTATATTTATCTCTGTTTTGTAATGTGATAGTAGAGTATTGATTGATGAAGGTTCGTTAGCGCATGGAAGGTAGCTTTATAGTCCAGTTTCGGATATGGATCACGTATTAAAAATTATGGAACGTGACACGTGACAGCAGTAGAAAATGTCGGCGTGGTGCTTCGAGACACGTGTCCGTAAGTAAAGCGAGAGGATATTACTAAAGTAAAGAGAGTGGATAGATAGATATTTTAACTAGCTTTCAAAGTACGTACGTGTTCTAACGATCCCATGACAGGGGGGGGGGGGGGGGTGATATCTAGTGATCTGCCGGTGCAAAGCAAAAGAAATATCTGTCCTTTTCTTTCTATAACGTCGGTAGAAGAACAAAAAAATATCTGTCCATTTTCTTTGCGTCGGTCGCTACTAATAAATTATCCAATATATTTTGACACGTATCCCTTGTGCCTTTAATTGTCTTGTTTGGATTAAATAGAATTCTTTTCTTTTGGGCATCTTGTTTCTGTAGATTATTATTTCCATACACGTATATCGATCGTTATTAAATCCATACAAAGAGATTGAGTAGTTTTCGATTTTTCGAAATAAACTTGCATGCATCTGAGAGATTTGGGCTTTTGTCATTTCACCTGGATCAAATTAGTGCTTTGGGCGCGTTAGCCTCTCTTTTGGACCGAGTTAGTCGTAATGGGCTACGTTAGTCTACTTAATCATGGGCCTTCAATTCCAACTAAAATATTGGCCCAACGTTTCCTTCTTTTTAACGAACAGCAACTTCAGAATGGAAAGTTAATTACTTTGTACCAAGTTGATTTTTCCATCGCGATATGAATGATTAAATAATTGATATCCATTGTTTTTTTTAAAAAAAAAACATGATGATATCAATATTAATATCATGATGAAATCATACATTGGGAGCCAAGTGTCCGGAATTTATGCGATGTGGATATAAAATTAGTGTTTTGCAATTTTTTTTTTCTTCTATCAATAGTGTTTACAAATTAATCTCAAACTTAATAAATAATGACATGAAAAAAATCTTGTCGTATTTGAAGTTTGTGGTGGTGGTGGCAAGATGCCACCTCTTTTAAATTTGTTTACATGAAGTGAAAACCAAGTTCTAAAAATGAAGAAGTTAAACTATAGCATTGTTGTTCTTATATGACAAGGGCATAATGGCTTATCTGTGACACCTTCATGGATAAATTCCACTTTCAAGGTAGGTCTAGTGTCATCTGTCGTGTGTAGACATATCCATGCGCGTTTACATGGGAGTGAAGTAGTGTAGACTATTTATAAAGATAAAAATTCTCAAAATGTTGTAATATATAACATATGTTCGAATACTTTAACATGCATCAAAAAAATCTGCGAACAAGAACTATAATTGTTTTAATTATTTAAACTTGCAAAAAATTTGGTCGTGTGTTGAGAGCTATATGTGACCCATGGCTGTCGAGGGCGAAATTCCGTGTGATTAGTTAGGGATGATATTATAATTGCAAAAGGACAAAATTTGGGGGTTCCAATCAGAATATACAAATAAAGAAAGAGAGGCAAATGTAGTTATGTGATCTGTCCTTGCTCCCTCTGTAGTCGAAACAATATTGCTCTAGCTTTTGGTTTTAGAATTTTCCAAATAATAATGCGAGGTCAAAAAAAAAAAAAAAAAGTAGGTACGTAACGTAAATTATACTCCTCTCAAATGACATGCAATATTATAGTATTAATACATGAGAGAACCAAGGAGGAGAATATATGCACAAGTAGTTACATACATAGTCATAGACACCGATTGTTTATTGTCATGTCAGGGATTAATGGAGGAGATGAGAGAGCGAAAGAAGTTTTCATCACAAGGGATGGTTAGGCCATTGTCTTGGCAGAACCCAAACTCTTCCTCAGATTGTCGCAGCAACATCTGATTCATCAAAGAGTATACAATGAGAGGCTTGAGAGCAAAGGAGATACTTATACATATATAATAGAAAGTTTACCTGGAAAATGGGATGTGTGAGGAAGGAGATAGGAATGACGTGTCGGGATCTGGAGTGACCAACGTAGACGACGAAGTGACCTTTGGGGACGCCGTTAATGTTAACGTTGACGTTGCTCTTCTTCCCCAAACTCGAACATCTCTTTAGCATCTGCTTCAGACCCTTGCTACTTCCCCTTTCTACTCCCATCTCAAAGCTCCTTTTTTTTTTGGTTTGGCTCTCTGTTTTTTTGTTTCCTTTTGGATAAAGAGAGAGTGGTGACTCATATTTATATCCACAAAACACACATGTATATATATACAGTTGTGTCGAAGACATGTCAATTGCACCCACATATACATACATAGAGAATTAACATGATGTTTCAACGTTATGGGACTCACCATGTGCAACACTCTTAACTATTAGACCTTAATAAGAAATAAGTAATATATATAATCACATCCAACTACACTTTGCAGCTTCATCGATCAATCTGTGTGACAAAATGTAAGTGCGAGTTCCCCTTGTCTTAATTAACCAAGATCATGTAAATTCACAGTGATGACTGAAGATGTTACATGTACTTACTACCACATGATAATAAATAATATATAAGAGGAATTTCAATTTTGCTGAGGAGAAGAAGATGGGCGACTACGGCTAGTCATGTTCTGTGGATGAAAGAAATAGAGCAATGATGTATTACAGACAAAACCCCATTAACGGAATTCTAACAGAAAGCCCATACAGTCTCGTGCAGCCGCATCTTTTCAGCCACCAATCATTACCGGTCCGACCAAACCTCCCAAGATCTCAACCAATCCTATCAAGCCTAGAAACCCTAGACCCTGGAGCAAGCTAAGTTTATGCCAATCCACTATGTAATTTCATTTCGTGTGCAGGGGGGAGTGTACAATCACATAAGAAGAGTCTCCCAATATTTTTCTTGGTATACATACAAACAAGGATGAAAACGGCGGTTGTATCAAATGAGGGTTTCATTTATGTTTACATGTGGAAGAGAGATGATAATATAGCAAATCTCTCAATCTTTACATGGAGCTTAGGGCCATCATTTTGCACTGCTCATTCATGGCCAGAAGCTGCGCCTCTTTCTTATCAACAAGAGCCGTCAGTCTTACATTCTCTTCCAATAGTTTCTGAACCTCTGCTTCTTTCTGCACTTTCTCGCTTTCCAACTGCGTTGTCTTTGCCACAAGCCTGCTTCACCAAAAAACCACACCACCATGAACTCGACAATCACAATCGGAAAGTAATTATTGACTCCTAATTAGCACACCACACAAGGATAAAGCTTTTGGGACTACTAAACACCTAAAACTAGCAACATCTCAATAATCTCCAATCCCAAGGATGACTTGTGTTTTTTTTTTTTTAATAACCAATAGAGCAGCTAGCCATGAATGCGGACTTGATTACGATGATGAGTATCTGCTCTAGAATGGTGATCAACAACCCGAGTCAAGTGTTCTCACGGAAACCAAAATCTTCCGGGAAAGATAATCAAAGTTCATAATTTATTCTAGAGCCGACACTATGACTATGAGTAGGCAATTTAATGGAAATGATGATTACTTTTTTTTTTCTTTTCTATTTTCAAATAAAAAGATGGAAAGTGCTTAGAACTCACCGTTCAAAAAGTCTCTCGATTGTTTGGAACTGCTTCTCCGATGAGACGAGTGTTTCTCTGACGCTGATGAGACTTGTAACATAGGATTTAAGCGACTCAAAGTCTCTCCTGACACGACAGAGTTCCTGCTCATTTTCCGTAGCTCTTTGCTTCTGTCTAGACGTTTCTTCGACCAAATCATCAACCCTCTGCCGCATTTCACAGAGAATACTACTGGTCCCAAGAGCAAACTTTTCCATGTCCTCCAATTTCATGGACATGTTGTCGATTTGGCCAACCTTTCTTTGGATTTCTTCTTGACTTAACATAACCTTCCCTTTCTCAATTGCGGCTTCGGATTCTGCGATTATGGCACGCCTAGCCAGAGACTCCATCACGCCTGTAACGGTCTCTACATGCTTCAGCATCTCAGTGACATAAGTCCCATCATTTTCATCTGTTGATCCTTGTCTCCTACCAGTCTCCATCGTTAGCTGAGCGTCGGCAATGCTCTCTAACAATCCAGAAACGGGAAAGCAACTAGTATTGACAAGCACATCAACCTCGAGCTGGTCGGTTGCAGGTGACAGCTGAGCCAAATCCGCAGCAGCCAGAGTTGTTGCTTTTGATTTCAGGTAGGTCAGTAACGCTGTTGCGGTTTTCACTCGTCTCCAGAGAATATCAGTCTCCTTTTGTGAGACTTGCTTGCAAACCAGAGCAGATTCCTCAACAGTTACGAACCTGTCTTGCAGAATATTGATGCTGGACCGGCTACTCTGCATTGCTCGGATCCAGAGATCATGATCCTCAATGATGTTCGATTCTGCACCTTCCTTTGCAGCCATAGACTCTCCTGCGTTATCCCACAAAGCAACTTCTTCAGCATTATGGGAAGAAAACAGCATGACCATCCACGCTTAACTTTGGGAGCAATCTTCCACGGAAAAAACAAAGACTTCAAGAGGCGATGATCGTCTCAAATAATTCAAGAACGAAAAAAAGAGCGGCAAAAGCGATCAATCGTTCCAAAACCGTAAATCAAAATAAACAACCACGCTAAGGCAGAAGTGAATGGTACGATAGCCAAATTGCAACAAAAAAACTCGGAAATCTAAATGACAAACCCAGAAATGAAGCTACAGATGAACTTTGCCCGGAGATTTCGGGAGGCCGATCAACCGATTTGACGAGGTGAAGGAAGTCGAGTCGTGTCGGGTCGGGTCTGTGGGTAAAACGGGTCGTTTCCTTGAGGATCGATTAACACGCGTCTATTTGCGAATCAACTATTTGGAGTAGAATCACAGCAAATTAGTTTGACACCTTCTTCTTCTTCTTCTTTAGCTTTCTTTCGGTGGTTGGGCCTTATTGGGCTTTCCTACACTATGATAACTTGGAGTCCACAACGATCCCCCAACTCTGAGTCTCAGATATCATCAATTCCAGAATTTGATCTCGAGGAGGAATGATCATGCACAGTTCGTTTTCATGTGCAACTTCAGAAACAATCAAACTTGCAATTTAACCGAATAACATAAGAAAGAAAAGACTTGGAGGGGATTTTAGACTTGGAGGGGATTTTATCTTATTGTGTAAAACGAAACAAGAGTGAATGAATAATCATCGTTAAAATACAAATGAGAGTGAGTGAAGCAACAATCATAAGTTACCGGCATAACCCACAACACAGTCTGAAGAGAAAAGCAAACTTCAGCGGAGAAGCAAATCCTGAGGGGAGGAGTCATTTACATGGCAGAAGCGTCGAGCATGCATGAGATGACATATGGCCAAAAAGTGGAGTTGCCTTTTACTAGAGAGTGAAAGGCTTTGCATAGACATCAAATGGTTGACAAGCAGTCAGTTGAGGCTCCTGTCAAAACAGAGAAACAACATCACATTACCACCAATTTTGTATCAAACACAGCAGAGAAAGTTTTTCTTTTTAAAAAAAAAAGGATATATTTTTTACCTGTCTCAATCCCCCAATACCACTTCCCCCTGTCAAAAGCATGCTCAGCACAGTCGTAACAACTCCACCACTACCACCAACGTCATTCCCTGTATTCCTAATTGTGGTGCGCATCGAATTCAGAATGCTTCCGTAGGTTGTGCCTTGCGCGCTTCGTTCGATCGCTTGAATGAAACAGAAAGTCATAGCACCCGTAGACGTGATCTTTGACAACGCCTGTATAAAATGTTTCAATCAATCATGAGTCGTGTGTAAACTCAATTACAACTGCAACACGGATTCGGTTCTACTTACTGATGTGTCTGCCGAAGTCTGATCATCATCACATCCACTGATTGATATGGCTTCTCCGCCAGCTGTTCCTTTCCACAAACCTGAGCTTGGCCGATGGTCCTCCCACACATACTGCCCGGCTCTGTTTCAATTAACAAAATATATAACAACAAGTACAAAAAAGTAGACAAACTTCACTTGGTTGAGAGGGACTAGAAACCTGTTCATTCTGCATAAGAATGGTAAATCCAGGACGGTGCCACTATGGCAAGCATCGATGATAGAATGGAGCTTGACACCATGCGGAAGAGGGCGTACAATAGTTGCGTTGATCTCATCATCTACAATCATCCCCTGAGTTTCAAAATCCAGAGGGCAGAGCGTTTCATCATAGCCATCAACTTCATCACCGTTGAAGTTTCTTTGACGGGAACCATGACCCGAGTAGTGAAAGACAAGTGAGTCACCTGCTGTACATCCCTGTACGAGCCAAAACAATGCCATCCTCATGTTTTGCTTTGTCGGGATACGATATGGGTCAGTTTCTTCCTCTGCACCAACAGAGTTACATAAGATGAACAATTTATTTGCAAGCATATCAATCAAAACTCTTAGTAGCAAGTTGTTGGCAAGCAAATTTTAGTTAAGAACATGTAGTTGATAATAAAATGAAATGAGAAATTCGAATGAAACTAGTAATAGTGAGCTAAGCAAAACAAGTGTTAGATAGATAGAAATGAAAGCATGAATCCGGATCATTTGCTAACTGAAATATCCATGGAGTTTGCAAGCAGGCAGCAAGAGTGAGAGAGAGAGAGAGAAGCAATACCGGTGAGCATGAGAATGGAATCTGGGGAGAAATTGAACTTGTTAATGAGAAGGTGTCGCATGCACTTGGCGTCGTTGATGCAGCCTTTGAGCTCGTGGCGAGAGTATCGGTACGAAATACCACAGATGACAGCCCTCTTCCTGCCATGGGGGTGAGGAAGCTGACCGAGAGGCGCGGGGATGTGTGGAGGCGGAGCAGAGGCGGAGGAAGGAGGAGGAGGAGGATGGGCGGTGCGGGGGTCGGCGATATGAGTAACGGCCTGGCAGAGAGCGCAGCGTATAGATCGGGCGCCCGATGGGAGCTGCAGAGGCGTCCGGCAACCGGAGCAATTCACCAGCATAGGAGGCGCGTAGAAGCTTGACGAAGGTGGCGGGAACATTATTCTCCGATCACCAGAACGCGTGAGGAAGACGACTAGTCAAATTAAAAGGGCGATTTGAGAAGAGAATATGTCTTGCAGAATTTTTATCTGGGACCAGCTCCTTTGCATTACTCGCTGAGTTTTTATTTAAAGAAAACAAAAAAGCATTGAATTAGGTGAACAATTATTATGGGAAGAAAACAGCATGAGAAATCTCCTTTAGGAAAATCAACTTTTACTAGGAAAAATCCAAGCAAGCCAATAAGCGGGTTCGATTGTCGCAACTATTTCAAGGAAAAAAAATAAGCGATCAATCGCAAATACGTTCCAAAACCTTTAGTCAAAAACAACTATAGAGTATAGCCAAATTGCAACAAAAAAACTCGGAAATCTAAATGACAAACCCAGAAGAAGATTTCGGGAGGCCGATCAACCGATTTGAAGAGGGGAAGGAAGTCGTGTCGGGTCGGGTCTGTGCGTAAAACGGGTCGTTTGCTTTAGGATCACGACGCGTCTATTTGCGATTTGCGAATGTATTATTTGGAGGCTCGGAGAATCACAGCTAAATTAGTTTTGCACAAGTCTTTGAAAAGTTCTTTCGATGTTTGGGCCTTATTGGGCTTTCCTAAAATATTATACCATTGGAGTCCACGATCCCCCACCTCTCTCAGATATCAATCCATCTCGAGGCA